ATATATATATATATATATATATATATATATATGTGTGTGTGTGTGTGTGTGTGTGTATTTGCTGCTTTCTTTATTTCTTATCTATTGTTGATGTTTTGTTTGATTTATTTAATAAAGTTTTCTTTTTTTGTAAACCTGCAATGAAAATAACTGGCCAAACCCAAATAATTACCTCACTCTATATTTATTTCTAAATATAGTGTTTATTTAATATTTTTTATTGAAACCATCATTTTAAATGCATTTTTAATTATTTAACTTTGAATTTTACATTTTTATTATACTTCTTTTAAAAATTATATAATTATCATTTGAATCGTTCTTTGGATAGGTAAATAAATGTTACATTAACTTTTTATTTTCATGGGACTTTCCACCTGCCGTAGAGATACCATCACAACGCTTGTGAAAACAAGCTCAAGACTCCCTCACGGGTCCCAACTCCTATTTTTGGGTTGTTATGATGTAAATGGAGGGAGCAATAGACTAAAAAATAAGCCCTAAAGTATCAGCAGCACATATCAGGGATCAGCTTGACTGATCTCAAAAGAACTGGTATTCAAAAAACTGGATCAGTCAAGATGCAGAGCTGGTAACAAAAGCCTTCATCACATTTTAAATTTCTATTCATAAACATCTGAGTTTAACATCTATAAGTTGTGTTGGTCTCTCACATTATTACTCAACAGAGGGAAGTTGATATAAAGCCATTTGAGTGGGAATGCCTAATGGGACTGGGGATGCAGCACTATCACCTCAAAGCTGGGGGATGACTACACAGCTGGAGTACCTTTTTATAAGTCAGAGCTTCCTGCTTTTGTGTTTGTTTGCCCCGGTTTATACTGGACAATCTCTCTGGGCACTGTCTCAGTGTGATAAGGGAATTAACAGCAGGATCAGCAGAGAAGAAATGCTCTTTATGATCTTCATATGCTGCCTTTGTTGTTGCCACATCTTCCTCATCTTTCACTTCCTCCTCTCCCTCAGTCTTTTGGTGCAACTCTTCAGGGATGCTGAGATTATCATGATCCATATCTTTACAGTGTTGGTCACAAACACCCCTCGCCTTCTCGCTATCGCTCATCCCACCACCAGCTGCCGCCTGTCTCACAGACGACAGAGACGTGATAGATGCCGTCCTCTCTGACTGATCATCAGGATCAGCGTCAGCCCTGTCAGGTTCTTCCTTTTCTACAGGCAAAGTAACTTCAGAGCCATCTTGGATGTTTTGTTGATTTTCTTCAGTATTTGCCCGCATTATTCTTTCATTATCTCCAATGTGACCTACAGCAGTATCTAAGTCTGTTTCATCATCTGCATTTTTTCCATCAACGCTTAATAGCTTCGGCTCAGTGCGAGCATTTTCTTCTCCAGAACAGCAGCTTTGAGACTCGTCAGCTTGGGCTTGCACCGGCTCCCCCTGTTGGTCAAGGGTGTCTCCAGCAGGCTCAGGGTGGATTGAACGGCCGCAGCTCTCGGAAAGTGGGGCTTTAGTGTTCTCGACGCACATCCCATCCTCAATATCAAAAGTGACAGAACAAATCCCTTTAAAAGTCTGGGAGGAAAAGTCTCTCCTCTTCAAAGGCAGTAAATCAAATTAAACCCAGAGAGGAAGGGGAAAGATGAAGAAAGAAAGGAAGACTGATAAATAGATTATTAAACATCTCCATACCTTTAAACAGAGCATAGGCCAAGTAATACATCTTGGGAAAAATGTGAGGTCGTGCCATGTTATAACATATAAGGCTAATGGTAAAGTCTAAAAGGCGAGCTCTTAAACAGAAGAAGTACTTGATATGACATAAATATGTTCTTTTTTTGTTGATTTTGCTCCCTGATTCCAGTCCTCCAAAGTAAGAAAAAGTAATGTCTTTTCAAATGATGGTCCACCTTCCATCAACTATGGCTTTGATGGTAAAATACCAGAGCAATGTGTCTACTGGACTGAGAAATGAGATTCTCTCTATATGTGTGAGGCATATATATATATATATATATATATATACATATATATACACATACATATATATATATCATTGACTCGAAAGCAATCCACACTAAGCATGCCATCTGCCGAGGCCGACTGGAGTTCAAAAACACAAAAACTAAAATAAAGTGTGTATATACATACACACTTTTAATATACACCATAGCAGTTTTTCTTTTGTTTATTGTATTAATACATACAGAAGGCCTTGATGGGGATTCCTTGGACATCTGTCCCTCTAAGGAGTGGAGCCTCTCTTCCAAAAGTTGGTTCCTGGACATCAGATTCTCCATGGCATCGTCACGAGGTAAGGCCTGATGTTGCCTGATCATTCAATATGAGGGGGGGGAAAAAACAATGAAATAACAAGTGAGTTGTATACATAGCTCATAAAGGTCTGGATGGCAAAAAGAATTCCAGAAAATTATAAAAATCACTGAAACCCTCAGTTGCTTTAAATTCAGCCTTTGACTAAGCTATCTAGACATTATCGGTAGTTAAACCTCCAGTTTAACTTTCGTTCAATTTTCTAAATCAGTTAATCTTTTTGAATTTTTTTTTAAATCAATAATCATCTCCCTTTGTTTTAAACATAATTCTATTATTTTAATCTGTTGCTTTTATTCTCTTTAACTATTTGTACTGCCTCTGTGCCTCTGCAAAGTACTTTTTATCCTCACAGCACTTGAATGCTCTTACCACTGTAATGTGCTATATAAATAAATGCGCCTTTCCTTATGCTTGGTAATCAAGAATACAAATACAACAAATGAGGATTTTTAGAGGACATAAAATAAAATCAAAATTGAAATTCTCCGTTGAAAAATGTTGGTGAATAAAATTTGCACCTCTTACTGTTTTTCTATTCAATTCTTCATGTTTGTAAAAAGTAATTTGTTCAAGTCTTGAATCTGGGAACATTTCCATGCTGTCATAATGCTGGGTTTTGTTTAGCAAATGCTAGACTGCAACTAGACTCACAAACAATCTCATAACTTTAAAGGAACCTCTTCTATAATCCATTGTGGTGCTGGAAACATTTAAGTGTGAAAAGAATTTGCTGTTATAAGCAAAAATATGTTTGTTTTTTTGACATGAAAGCATGCAGCTGTGCTCTCATCACTACTACTGCTTTTAATTCATATTACATTTTTTGGGGGAAGAGATTAGCATCTGTGGGGAAGATTAAAGGGAGTTCAGTTTAAAAAAAATGTAGTCTCTAAACCCAAATCAAGCCCGTTTTCCCAGACCCAATAACGCCAGTCAGAGGCAAAGGGCCAAGATTGAGGTACAATTTTCCATATCAAGACCAGAATAAAGACCAGGAAAAATTTGTCTCAGGACCGGACTGGAGCAGAATACTAGTCATGAGGTGTCCGTTCCTTAAACACGAATGGTGTAAACAACTTGCTGAAGTTCAAAGTGATCATTAGAATGGGAAGGTAGTGAGATAGATTTCTTTTTGAATGCGGCATGCTTGCTGGTTCCAGGTCACATGGTGCTGTCAAACATTTGACCTCCCTATGCTGAAGTTAATTGTTCTGTGACCGTCCGACTGTTGGGTCAGTTGACATTAGACTGAACCTTTTGCAGCAGTGTAATGAAACAAATGCAAACATGGAATCTGACTCTTTTTTCAAACCTGATCTGGGTCTAATTTGCATTTGGTTTTAAATCTGATAGAGATTGGATCTTTTGGAATGTGACTGCGGTCTGAAAAGCCAACTGGCCCATATGGAAATTAGTATGACAATTATGTCACTCTGTACCAACAGCAGGGGAAAAAAAACGATTACAAGAAAGATGGAAGAAAGCATAGACGGAGGTGTACAGAAGGACAGCAATATTTTGGAATGATTAACTCTTTGGGTGGATATGATGACCTAAAAGAGACTAGAGGGGGTCATACCTTAACAGGTTGGTCGACTACAACGCTTCACCCACAAATTTATCCTCGGGGGTGTAGCTACCACAGGTCCTCCAAAGGTCCTAATTAATTGTTTAGCTCTCTGTCTCCTTTTCTGCATTGTGTGCTGTATCATCTGGCTACTTCCACTGCTTAATGATTTCAGTGCAATTCAGTTTATTAATATAGTGGCAGTTCATAACACGTCATCTCAAGGGCACTTCACAGAGACAATACTGTCAGACTGGTTTGGAAAACCAGTTGATTACATCCAGTCATTGACATGCAAGACCTGCTCCTTTAAATCCATCCATAGACACTGACTTCTGACACATCCTGTTAATTTTTTCTGTGCATGCGGGTCACTCCGGGGACACAATTAGACTGTGATATGAATAGCAGCACAAAAAAGAAAAAGATAAAAACTGAATTGAGCATTAAGACCTACAATGTGAACATAGCCTAAGTGTTTATGCTAACCCGGTAGCAGTCTGGTAGCTCTGTTCTCTGTATCTTTTACAGTTACTACACTGTTGCTACACACAAATTTAATTAGATTGTGTACAATACCGCCCACCTTTTCAGAAATTTTGTCGCTGTCTGCATTTTCCAACTGGTTAACTCTGAAACTGGTGAACCCAGTGTGTCTCAGTGAGCTTGATGCAGACATTTTTGATTTATGCCCAATATTGAAGCGTGGTCTGCGCTACGTTATATTCAACTCCACAACGCAAGAGGGACAATCTGTGTGTCTAAATAGGGCCACGGTGAAGAAGTAGGGACGGAGGAACATGAGGGCGAAAAAGAGCGGGGATCCAGGTGAAGGGTCCCAGCATTCTCGTGCACCTCGCTCTTCTAGCTGGTCAAACTTCACAAGTCGTTTGCCACAATGGCGGTCATACAAACAAAACAAGCCGGCCTCCTGTCTGCGGTCACCTACAATTTGGGAGAGGTGCAGCAGAGTGTCAGCAGAGGGGGCGGGGACGTCTTTTTGTTCACTGTGACACCTACGCAGACAACCTAGTTTCGAAGTATAAATCAGCCTTAAGACTCAAAAATTACTTAGTGCTGCTTTAACTTCAAGCAGTATTTATTTCTCCCTGACGAGAGAAAACTGGTATTTGTTGTCAGTGCAGGCACAGCCGGGTTAAGGTTGCTGCTTCCTGGATAGGGAATTCTAATGTAGATATTGGTTGAGTTTGAATTCAGGGGCTGCGTCCTCTCAAGGCCAGATTCTTAGATCAATTACATCATAGCGCAGCGCTGAGGTCTGTTCAGATTCCAAGACTCTTCGTTATGCGGCCGACAAATGCATCCTTCTTTTTACCCCTTTTGAAGGACGGGGCCGATGTATCCTACGTAGCCTTGGATATCCCGTTATTCATTGCGAGTCCAAGCAAGCTGGCCTCTCTGTGCTCAGATGAAAAAGGCACTTAGTGTCACAGTGTATATTGGAAGTTCAGTTTGAAATAATACAAGTAAATGAATAGTTCCATCTCAAATTAATGAAAATAGTTGTTTTAAATGGTTGTTGAGTCAGATGTGTGGCGGATAATGTTTGGTTGATTGAAATGTGCAAATGGGTTTGGCTGATATTTAAGGACAGATTCTAATATATCTGCAGAGTTGGGAACTATAAATCTGATACGATGCTGCTGTTTAAGCTCCTCGAAAATGTTATTAACATCTAGAACAGCAGTGAGAAGTTTGGTATTCATTCTTTCTCTGCTTCGTGTGTCAACTCTTACGGCTGCTAGGCCACAGAGCATAAGGCTATAAAAGCCGCAGAAGGCTAGACCCGTTTGAATTCACAGCCAAAACTCTTTCGGCCTCCTTTTTTTCACAAACCTCGAAGGATCCAGTCCCGATAGACCAGGTCCTTGGAGGATGGAGCCTTTAAAATTGAAAGCACTCATTGTCCATCCACCTTTCACAGGATATGGAGAGGCCACTGCTCAGACAGCAGAACTCAACAGGATAACGCAGTGATTCAAGAATTAGGCAGAATAACCCTTTGTTAATGAATGTGATGAATGAATAGCGCAATGACATAGCTGAAATTATTTAGGAAGGATATGGGCCCTTTAAGATGTTATTTTAATACAAATTTTTATGTGTTTTTAAAATTAAGATTGTAAGATTAAGTTAACACTAGAGGTGACACAGTTGAAGAATGAAATCAAGGGGGTCAAGAAAAGAAGTGCATTGCAGGCTGATACATACTTTATGGTAACAATTTGCGTCTCCAGCTCTGCATTCTTCTTCTTTAACTCCTCTATCTCTCTGTCCATCTCATTGGCTCGCACCCCCACCACCAGGTCAGCAGTCACACCTCGAGCTTTCAGTTTTTTCTGCAAAGCAGCCTTCTCCTGGTCAAGTCTGCAATCCAACAAAAACAAGCTTGTGTAACTGATAGAGGTATTGTATGTGCGCTGTCCAGCTTTGATTGAGCAAACTTTGATCCTACACAGGAACATAAGGAGCCATTAATCAATCATCAACATGCCTGTAGAAGATCTAAAAGCTGTGCATACCATGTGTATGATGTAGGAACTGACCTGGCATAAAGATCTTTAAGAGTGCTGAGCTGCTTCGACAAGGATTCATTATCTCGTTCCTTCTCTTTCAAGGAAATCTTCACCTTTTCCATCTTAGCCTGCCATTTTTTGCTCTCCTCCCACCTCACAATTTCCTCTTTAGTCTGATAAGGGAAGACAGTATTAAACATTTTAAACACATTTTTAAAATTTAAAAAACCTTATTCAGATTGTAAGATTACCTCCCTTTGCCTTGAATTGGTAAAGAAAATTAACAAATTAATAAAACAGTAGAAACTATTAAAGGTGCAGCTATTCCAGCAGGCTAAATGTGTGCAAATCAAAGTTTGCAAGTCTAACGGTCAAGCTAAATGCTAAGAAAATTAAATCCTTAACTAGAGGTTGTTTGCAGACATTAAAAGAAAGCATTAAGGATCTAAGTAGAGGTAAATCTGCTCCTGTTTATGTACATATATGCGAATAAAAACCAGAGCAAACTGTCAGATGCTCCAAGACCTGGGATGGTTGTGACAAACACATAGCGTCTGATGAAAGCTGTGGGTAAAGTAGATGAATTAGACAATAGAAGAGCAAAGATTGGGGCAATTCTGCCTTTTTTAAATACTTTTTTTTATTCAAAAGGGAAATAAAATTGTATAAGTTTACTTAATGAGTATGAAGTAAAATTGGTTCATTTTTGCTGTAAACAACGAACACATTTTGCAAATGAAACATTTTGAAAAAAGCGACTGGAACTGAAACTTTGAAAAAACATTTTAATTAAAAGGTTTTTTTTTTTTATTTCTGTTTTTCAGATTGATTTTTATGAAATACAATCTTTTCATTTTGGGTTTTTACGGAACACATTTTCCTCACTTCAAACCAAATACAAACACTCACTCTGGATCAATAGTATGCTGCTGGTAACATTTATGCGGACCAATAAAAATGCGTCTTTGTTCCTCACTCCAGAGGAAAGACCACCCCCAGAATTAATGAGAATGTGATTTGGAAAGTGCAGTTTGAAAAGAATGCAATTCCGAAAATTAAATCTGAAATACAGCAGTTAGAAGAAAAAAAATTCCAAAAATGGCAAAGTTACTCTCCAAAACTACTTTTTTTAAATTAAAAAAATTCATCTAATTAAAAAAAAGTCATTTTTGTACTGCATTTTTTTATTGCAGTTTAAAAAAAACTTTGTAACTAATGGAACAAGATTCAATCTATAAAAAAGTTGTAGATTGTGATAGCTTCGGGCAGGAGGGATCTCCAGCAGTGGTCTGTATTACAGTGGCTCTAAGGAGGCCTCTGACTAAAGAGGTCATGAACGGCCAAATTCCATCATTTTGGGCTTCTGTTAGGACTGAAATACTGCAGCGTTCACTTAGGAACATTTGTAATTACCAGGACAGTAACTATGCGGAAGAACATGGCATTTGAGCAGCAGCTGGTGATTGTTAACATCTAGAGACATCCTTTGATTTAGCAAATACACCACTATGAAAAAAATGTGGAAAAACTACTGCAAAAATAACTGTCTCTATTGAAGGGCATGACAAGGCTTGGAAAAGTTTGTAACCGCATTTTTTCACTACTTCCACATGTAGTGTGGTGTTGTCAGCTTGCCGTTTTTGCTGGACACACCCCTCTGGAGCTAGCCAGAATAGGGGGAGAAGCTGCACAGAGTGTAAATAGGCAGAAAAGCATAACCCGACCTTTAGTGGCTATGCAGATGATTCCCTTAAAAGTTTGAAGGAGTGTTTTTTTTTCCAGGGGAGGACTTGGAGCTAGCTACGGGTAACAAGTGTAATTTCTCCTTAAACCCTGCAAGAACTGTTGGCTGAGGCAGAAAAAGATGCTAATTATTTGGATGTCCAAGAATTAATAGGCATGTTTGCTTCTTCATCAACAGTCTGAATTTAAAGGGTGGGGCTGAAACGAAAAAATAGGCAAACAATAGCAGAAAAATGTTGCTCGTTAAAGAAATAAATGGAGCATAATGCTGATGTTTGTAGAAAAACATTGAGGAAATAACAAAAACAAGAACCACTTTCTTCTATATGGTAATTCTTACTGTTTATTTAAAAGTGATATAATGTTTAACTGTCAATTTATAAATGCAATCCAAGACAGAATCAAAAGTTATTCAACAGATAAAATGTTAATTCAATGGATCTCAGCAAAAAAAAAAAAAAGCTTGTCAGAGATTTTTGTCCTATCTAAAGTGGTACACACACCTTCCCCTGATCATCTTTGTTGGTTGCCACTTGGTTTCTTTTCTCCAGGTCAGACTCCAGCCTTTTGATCTTCTTCTGCAGATTCTCTATCATGGGTCCTTTACCAGCTTCAGATTGATTCTATGAAGTAAAGAGGAGAAAGAAGCATCACCTTTAGACATTTATTTAATTTTTAGACACAGTTCAAATGGACTTCCTGTTCTATGACCAACAAATTTAACTGGATAAAAAAAAAAAAACCAAGAATTAGGAGGATTATTTTCTCATCAACACATTGTTGAAATGACAGATACTGGATAGATGTCTGGAAACATTCAGCTAAACCGAGCTAAACCACTGAACCAGGTGTTTCCCTGCAGGTAGGACCGGGCGCCTTGTGGGTTAAGCAGAGACCACACAGTGCTCCATCTTACAATGGGTGAACATAACTGTTTTTCATAATCAAAGTGATGATAAAAGGCTTAAAAAGAAATAGTTAAATTCTTTCTCGCATTGGGTTTTAAGGTAGACTGCATATCACTGTAGTCAAAGCCTTAAAGGGATAGTTCGGTATTTTTGACATGAATCTGTATGGCATCCCCATCACCAGTGTCATGCAATCACACTGACTTACCCCTGGCAGCGTCCTGTGAGCAGAGTTCTCGTCCAGTTTTGGTCAAGCCAAAAGTAGTCCGGCAGGTTTGCTAGAGCCAGCGAAATAAAACGTTTCTCTTCCCAAAACATTATGTGTTCAAAAGAGTGATATTTTTGCATCCCAAAAACATTGTAGTGGAAAAAGTCACACGTCGTTATCACTTGGTCCTATTTTCTCTCTGTTCGTATCAGTGCGCGCCGTCATTCAGACAGCGAGCTCAACAACAGCCAGATGCATGTCTCCCTCCGCCTAGCCTCTAGCTGGGCGGAGGGAGACATGCATCTGGCTGTTGTCAGGTTAGTAGGCCCTAGCTGTCTGAATGACGGCGCGCACTGATACGAACAGAGAGAAAATAGGACCAAGACAGGTAAAATAGGACCATACAGATTCATGTCAAAAATACCGAACTATCCCTTTAAAGGAATAACCTCTAGCAGAATAAATAATCAGCTAATCAGGACACCAGATGATCAGGTTCAGTCTTAGTAGCACACAACTATATGGTTTAATTATAATTTAAAAGGATATTTACATATATTCTGCTCTTAAGGAGGCAACAGAGAAAAGTTCAAGCAAATTATTTTATGCTTAGTCACAAACCTGCATGGTGCTTGTGAGCCTCTTCACTTGCTGCTTGAGCTCTTCAACTTCTTGCTCTCGTTCCTCCTTTTCAGCCTGGAGACGTCTCAGAGTTCTTTGATACTTTTGGAAATCTTGGTTCAGGCCTTCAACCTCCTCTTTCAGAGTATTCTCTCTGCTCCTGGCTGCTCTGGCAGACTCCTTTGCAGCTTGAAGTTCTTCAGACACTTCCTGTAGCCGTGCCTGGAAAGAAAGAGGTTCATGAGATCTGCACTCTTCGGCAGGACCTTTGAAACATACTTAAAAAAATAATAATAATAATAATCATGATACGAAATCATATCAACTTGCTTGCATAATTATAGAGTGATTTTTGTTCCATTCTTATTGCAAGCAAATAACATGTTTTGCAAATGGATCTTTAAATTAAAAAGTAATCATAAAAAAAAGGTTTTAAGGGACTTTGCTGTTTTCTCAGATTTTATTTCAAAGTGTATTTTTGAGTTTTATTTTTATATTTCTGTTTTCAAATTGTGTATTTCTTTACATTTTTACAAAGTGCATTCTTTTCAAATTGCACTTCACAGATCATATTTTCTTCACAAGCCTAAGAGGATAGTAGAGAGAAAAGGCCGAACCAGAAGTGAAGAGAATGTGATCTGGAAAATGGTATTTGAGAAGAATGCAAACCATAAAAATTCAATCTAAGAAAACTGAAAAAATAAAAAAAGAAATATCAAACATGAAAAATGTAAAAAATAAAAACAATAAATCTGAAAAAACAGCAAAGCTCTAAAAAAAATCCTATTTTTATTTAAAATGTTTTTCAGATGTTTCAATGTTCAATTCTTGGATTGCTTTTTTTTTTATTTTCGATTTACAAAATGTTTTCTGAGCTTGTAACAATACTGGAGCAAAATTCCCTCCATCCCAGAGCTGTTTCAGTCTTTTCTTCCTTGAACTCACTTGTTTATTTGCATTTTTTTTAACACTGGATGTTAAGACTTTTCTTTATTGTTCCCACACTCATCTGGGAGATGCTGACTGGGTAGCAGTTGGTTGCTTCTTTATTTAGTTTCTGCACATGCGCAGTATCGTACCTCCGTTGTTATTTTGAATATACACAAAGGACCTTATTTACTAACACAATAAGCAAAAACAAAGGTTAGAACAATAAAAAATACTAATACATCAGCAGGATGTGATAATCTTTTAGAAAAACTTTGTATACAACTGCAGTAAGACACTGGTGTATAAAAAAAAAAAAAAGTCCAATAACATGATGTACCTTTAAGCATTTAAGCATACGGTCAAGCTTGTAACTTTTGGGCTATTCCAAAAGCTTGTTATTCTGTTAAATGAACCTGGCAAATGAGAACAAAGCAGCCCACATCATTGTGCCTCCAACACTAAACTTAAAGTTATAGTGAAGAATGGTTTTTTTTCCCCAGGTGGATCATCAAAAATAAGTGGTCCTCCTAATTGTCAGTTATTCTGATGATATGTTTACAAAAGGCTGTCATACGTGCTCATCTCCATTTTTTCTTACTGGTGGTGAGTCTGACATAGTGGAAAAATAGCAAATCTTCTTATAGAAAGTAAGCTTGTATGAGTGATGCAAACATTAACTTGTAAACAGAGCATGCAAGAGGAGAAATGGGCTTATGCACACTCTTGCATGTGTTTAATAGGCATTCTCTCTCGGTAGTGGGTGAAGGGTTATGCATGTGCTTTTTTCTTTTTAAAGTGGAGAGGGTGGGTCTTTTAAAAAAAAATCATGAAAATCTATACCTATATACACCTCTATTCTATACCTTTAATGCTGGTAGAGATATTCTAGACATTGAAAGCTTAATATATACTCCGTCTTATCGTAAAGGCCTATTTGTCTTATAATTAGGTCTCTGTTAATTTTGGAGTCAGGCCTCTTTCCAGTTCATGGCCGTATAGAACTGACTTCCTTGCTTATCCAGGGATCCAGCAGTTCCGAGCCATCAGCTTTGCTGGTTACCACTTTGTTCCTAACAAACTGTATTCAGTGTCCTTTAACATAAGCTTCAGTCTGAGGCAAATGTTTAAACCTCGGATGCATTCCCAAACACTGGGTCAGACATTTAACCTGTTAACCGGCAAAATCTAAATTACCAAAAAAATAAATAAATCTTGAAAAGCATACATTAAATTTAACGAGGGTCTATCCTGCCTTATGAAACCACTGTAATGACAGACGGTGATAGAATGAGGCTGCCAGTTTGGAAGCGCCACATGCGCCCCGAGGACTTGACAGTTGACGGGTTAATGTAGTATTTACTGAGTTGTAGGAATGAAATTGAGTATGTAAGAACATATTTGAGCATGTGGGGATCTGTAGACAATACAAATCCATGATGAATGTCTGCAAACTTCTGATCAGAACTCCAAAGCCAGTGGGAGAAGAAAAAAGAACCACCATCTCCAGATAAGCAGATAAGCAGCTGCTTGTATCTGTATCTGACACGTATCTGCAGAGGTCACCTTCCTGCTCGCTAAGATTGATGCAGATGGTCCTTTAAACACAGAAACATGGTAAACCAGAACCTTCTAATGCAGCCTGTCAGCAAGTAAAATTAAATTACTGCTGCTTTGTAGAAGTCCTGGGTTCTAACCATTATGCCAAACTGGAAAACATAAAACATCCAGCAGAGCATCATTTATGCTCAACAAAGCTTCATTTGAGCTGATTATATTGACAGGGATGAAACCATGAGAGGTGAGTAGGAAAGGACACTTTGATCCCACCTTCAGATCTTTGGTGTGTTTGTCAACCAGCATCTGTACATTAAGGCTCTCCTCTCTCTGTGCAGCACTGGCAATGACTTGCTGCTCTGCGGCAGACGTCATCTCCGCCCGCAGCTCCAGTAGAGCTTTACTGAGACCCTGAGAAAACATTGAACAAACAGCCCACAGTCCTTACTTATACAATTATGGGGTTAGACCTCATTTCACATTTCAACTGAGTAATGAATCAGTGGTGTACAAAGAAAATACTGCATAGCAAAAAACAAAAAACAAAACCCTGAAGACCTTGAGCTGTTTCTCCTTCTGAGTAAGTTGTGCTTTGAGTCGCTCCACCAGGTTTTTCATAGTGTTGGTCGGGGAACGGATATTGGCCTCCTTCTGAGCCTCCAGCTCTGTACGAAGGTAATTCATCTCCTTCTCCATCTGGGCCAGCTGACTGCTCTTATCCTCTGTCTCACTGGTCAGAGTCTTTAGCTGAGCAACATATTTTTCCTCCAGCCTGCAACAAATGTCAGTATTATAGTAGGAAACATTTCCCAGAGCTGCTTTCTATTCAGAGAGCAAATGGTTGTACATTTTTGGGCAGGAAAATGGGTGGCCGAGGGATGCAAATGACGCATGAATACATGATTTCACAGTTAATTGAAAAGGAAACACAGAAGACAAACAAAAACAAATGCAAAGAAAAAAATCCAAAAAAGGAGAAAAGCTGCAATCACAAAACCTGCTCAATACACATACATTTTGCTAACACATAAAACACACAGAACACAGGAAAGTAAAATATACTAAAAGTAGCTAAAGCAAATGCTGGAACCTGCAGGAACCATCTGTAAACATTGATTGGCTTAAGAGCTGTAATGTGGGCGGGTCTTCAGCATGCCCTGAACACAGACTGAGAGGAGAGACGACCTGATGCAATGACAGCCTTACTGAAGTAAAGCGCTGGCTGAAGTCTGTCAGAATTTTCCCTCTAGTTTGCTCATTATGTGCAAGAAAAAAATCGTTAAATTTGTCGGTTAGAAGCAGCTCTGATCTAATCAAGTCAGCACTGATTGACATCTCCTCTCCATATGTTGCTCTTTATTTCATGTGCTATTAGAACTATTTTACTTTTGTTAAATTGCTCAAAATGTGTTATTTTCAGCTTTACACCACTTTCATAACCAGTGGAAGCAAAAATATTAAGTTCTAAAACATCCAATATGCTTCATTGCTCTTTTATTATAAAAAAAAAAATACAATCATATCTAGACAATATCGCAGCTCTCAACCACAGACACCAAAATGATCACTACTCAATGTTTTCAGATATTGAGTCCTTTTTATTAAGTGATAACATAATTATTATAAAACTTCTTATATTTCATAATTAAACCTCTGGTTGCATCCAACGTAAATACTAACTGCATAGTCACTTTGACAAGTAACTAGTTACTTTGATTGTGTAGTTACTAAGTTACTCATTGAGTTGCTTTTTTGAAGAAGTAATTAGTAACTATAACAATTTTTTTTAAAGCCAGGGATAAACTGTGCGATCAATTCAATGGTTGCTCACAACCCTAACTCCAACTCTGCTAGTCGATCAGCGATGCATGTCCTCACCGTGTACGAACTGGCAACTCATATTGCGTGTCCTCAAAGACTTGTCGGGATCTTGAACAATCCAGGCATGCAACACAACAAATTGAGTTTAGCTAGTAATAGAAGAAGAATATGCTCGCACACGTGTAATGTGAAAATCTAAGCTGAAAGAGCTCATTGTGGTCGTGTCACCACTTTAACTTGCAAATCACTTGCGAGCCGCAACCAAAATATCAAATACGGTTGTTTTTCTTGTGGCCTATCAATCGCCTCTCATGATACGATTTGGCCCGATCCCCAAACTTGTCACACGACTGGAAAACGGTCTCAAAAAAGAACAAAAATCACTCAGTGTATCCCGTCCCCGACACTGAAGATGAATTAGTCTAAACGTTAGAAAAGTTTATAAACATGCAACAGCAACATGGTAACCAACCAAACTGAAGCCTTTACCCCACTTTGTTTATCTAAAGTATAAACCCACAAGCAGTCCCTGAAAATCAGCTTTCAAACTTACAACCTTACCCAATAGCTAACGGGTAATTTACTGGGTCAGTGCTATGTGTAAATAAAGCCAGAAATGTTTACCGGGTAAAACTGAACGGACAATTTACTGGCTCCGGACCTACTGTAGCATCATACCAACTCATTTATTCTAATGTCTGACCTTTAATTGTTCTTGCTAACCAGATTTTTGACTTACGTAAAAACTCTTCTTTAGAGGTTTTCTCAACCTTAAAGCTATATCCTTTCCATTACTGCCACCTGCATGTGATACTCCACCTTAGAAGCTTTTAATGAGTGATTACCTTGCTATATCTTGAGTATGTTTCTTAGCCTGTGTTTCCATTGTGATCCTTTGCCGCTCCAGCTCCTCTTTGGTCAGCCTTAACTTCTCAGTGACAGAGCTGAGCGATGCATCCTGCTCCGCCACAGTCTGTTCTAACTCAGCAAGCTGCTCCAGGTGTTTAGATGTTGGGACTCTGATTGTGGGCTTCTTCATTAATTCCTGGAGATAAAGAGTTCAGTTTTAAACCCAACGGCTGCCTTAAATGCTTGAACTATTCCTAATTGCCGTAGAGAATGGATGAATATCTTTTTTTTATAAAGTATTTAAGGCTAATGTGTTTCTACACAAAGATGGAACGCACCATGGCCGTCTGTTTGAACTGATCCAGAGAGTTATCTGTGTTCAAGTCCAGTTTCTTGTGTAATAGTCTCAACTCTTCCTGATGTCTTTTTATCATCTCCTCTTGATCCTAGCATGCAAGTCGATAGATAATTAAACAGAGAAGGGCATAGAATTAGAACATGGTTCAACAAAACAAAAAAGTGTACACATGTAATAAATAATAGCAGTTGTATTTAAAATGCATGCATGTAAACTACTTTCAACACACATTTTGACCGTTTTATGTGTGGATTAAATACCATGGGCCTCCAATATATCACAACCATCAGCTCACGCTCCTTCTCTGCTCTCTTGGTTTTTCTATTCCTGTAAATTCTCTCCTACTTTGAGGGAGGAAACAACCTGGTTAAGAAAACTGCCTGTGATCGCCACTTTCTTTCTGAAATACTGTCTATAAAAACAGTAGGTTTCTTCCCACCTACAGCAAGTAACATTAGCAAATCATCTTTAGGCTAATAGCTGTTTTCTTAAAATAGTTGAAAATTGCACAAAAAACGACAAAAAAAAAAAAAAATCAACACATCAAAAAGAATTAAGCTTAATCGATTAAACTAAAAAATAAGAAATCAACGGATGAATCGGTTATTAAAACAATACGTGCAGCCTTTGTCAGGACTACAATCTATTAAATAATTTCCCTCTCACACACATGCTTTAGACATGCCTTACATGCCTGAGAACCAACCCTCTGTAATCTGATTTTCTTTAACCTCTTACAACTAAATCTTTTATTTGACCTGAAGGAAGAGGTCATACTATTCCCTTTTTTTTCTCCTCACAGTATTAACTAGTTCCATCAACTTGCAGAAGCGTGGGAAGCTTATGTTGTGTTAATAATCCAAATCCAATTCTTCACGCCCCATCACAATAAACCACAAGAGATCTGTTCATATGAAAGATTTTTTTCCTGTAATGAACAAAACCACTTGTTCTAATGAGAATCTGAGTTCTTCAAACAGTGACACCACAGAGGAAGAGTGAATATTAAGACTGATAAAGAGTCCCATAACTTTGAGCAATAATTATTAAGAAGTCTGCTCATTTAAAAAAAATATGTAGTAAAAAGAAAAATCATAAGATCTACTGTTAAAAATTTGTTAAAGACCTCATTAAACAGCTTAGTTTAGTTATGTGTTCTGACAGCAGTAGCAAAATGCCCTAAAATGATAACTATCATTAAATTTGGAACCCCAGATCAGCTAAGCCAACGTTAGCTTCATTCATATTAAGAAAAGTGAGGCTCTACTGAAGTCTGGTTTATAGTTGATGACAGATGTTTGATATGAAATCAGAATTAAACTGTTGGAGAGACGAGCTATTAACCTGAAGATGCTTTGCTAACGTCTTGTCACTACACGATCCGTACCGGAAGCACGACTCGTACTGTTAGTTCTTTTGCGCAAGCCCAACCAGTTATACATCCGGGTGTCCATAAATAATGTAATTATGGTACTAAAATTACTAATTTATATCCTTAACTAACTAAGTAATGGAAATACACATCTTTAAAAAATATTTAATGACTTTTTCTGAGACAATTTCGATGCTTTCTACATTTTCTCCGTTAAACTGCTTTTCTGACATCATCACCGGACATGCTCAGAGCATTGTGGCAAAACATGATTAAACCATGTTTATCTGCATTTTAGTTGTTCCTTTCTTTAGAATACGCACTATATACCATAATGTTAACATGAAAGGAAAACATGAAATTCAAAAAGACTAAATTTATGTTTAAATCCAAAGCTGAAAAAGTTAGCTCCCAGAAGTAGCACAGGATATCATTTCCGGTGGAAATGGAGTACAGAAGAGTGATAATACAGAAAGGATTTTAAGGGATATATTTTCTCTGGAATTACATTATTAAACTTTAACACATAATAGTTTAGTACGCTTACTATTTTTGAGGAGGGAAAAATGTTATTTAGGTCTTTCTTACAAAATAAAATGGAGGGCGAACTGAATGTATATCAGCTGTTGGTAGGGATTGTGCTTCTGGGACGGATCGGGTAGTGACAACAGATACCAGTCGGCCCTGGTACAATTGAAACATATTCCAAAAAAATTACTTTCATGAGGATTTTAGACAAAAAACAGCAGTTAACTTGTAGAAAATGTTTGAATGAAAAGTCATGTAGCTTGACTTGGACATCTGACCAAACTAAATGAGGCTAATCAGTTAGCTACTGAGAAAAGCAAGTAGCTAACTGATTAACTGATGCCCTCGATACCATGATCTTCCAGTTAGTTCACCAAAAAAACACATCGGTAAAACTTCCTCAATCATTAGACACACTAACACTACAGGTGTTCCAAACACAAGGACGCCGCATTATGTTATTATCGTTGTCAGGACCAACAGTACTGTCTTGAGAGGTGGGATTTCCTAAAAGTAGCCAATAACTGGCAGTTTACTTTCCCAGGTCAGTTCCTCCCTCAAAGTGGCAACAGTTGACATGAGCGCACTAAACAGGTCCACAGAGGAGTAGGAGAGAATCTAGAGGAGCATTAAAAACAGAGCAGAGGAGGTGAAATCATGGGCTGCATCTGAATGTCCCCCTCGTTCTCCTCGCACAGCATCATGTTGTCACAGCGACCCGCTGTCGCTACCCAATAGCAGCAACAAATAACAAAGATGGCGCAGGCCCCGTGGAGGGAGGTGGAGTTACGTGACCATTGGGGAGCGAAAAGTAGTGATCATCTATCCGAACGGTCAGTTAACTGAGATCACTATAAAGTCAAATATATAATCCACACTCTATAAAGTGATTGAGAGAATTAGGGGTTAGGGCGAATGTTCGGACACAGTCATGATGGTGATATACTGGGGGCCCTTATGGTAATGAACCTGTATGGATAAAACATTCAAAACCTGTGTGGAGAGTAACTTTTGTGTTTTAAATAAAACTGTTCGTAACACTATTTATCACGACTAGAACGTTTGGCAGTTTTACCTGTCTGGCCTGAGTCAGTTGGTTCTGGTATTTCTTCAGCATATCTTCCTTCTTGACAAGTCGACTTTGGAGATCTTTAATAGTCTGGTGAGCCAGCTTGAGGGCAGGCTGGCTGCCCGGCTGCTCCTCTTCGTTCTTTTTAAGGTCGGCGAGCAGACGCTCTCTGTCGGCGGCCGCTGGAAGCCGAAGACGCAGCTCATTGATCACTCTGTCTCTTGACATGATGTTCTGCTCAGCTTTTAATAAAGATCCCTCATTCTCTTTTAGCTTCTGTTGAAGAAAGAAATTCAGAATAAAAATTCAAAAGTAAACAAAACTGGACATGCAATACTTTGAATACTAAATAAATACTAATACTAAAGATGATCACAACATATGAATGTAGATCCTATTTAGATATTTACTTAAAATAATTACCACCTCAATTGTTTACGCTAGCCTTGCATACAATCATATGAAAAGGTTTGAGCACCCCTATTAATCTTAACTATTTTTATTTCTAAATATTTGGGTTTTTGCAACAGCTATTTCCGTTTGATATATCTAATAACTGATGGACACAGTAATATTCCAGTATTGAATTGAGGTTTATTGGACTAACAGAACATTTGCATTAAAATACAATTTGACAGGTTCAAAAATATGGGCACCTTCATCCAGGATCCAGGAACTCATTAAAAGCTACAGGTAGCGACTAGAGGCTGCGGTTTTTGCAAATGGAGGATCTACGATATATTGATGTCTCTTTTTTGCTGAGGTGCCCATATTTTTACACCTGTCAAATTTTGTTTTAATGCATACTGCACATTTTCTGTTAATAAACCTCAATTAAATACTGAAACATTACTGTGTCCATCAGTTTTTAGATATATCAAACTGAAATTGCTGTTGCAAACACCCAAATATTTAGAAATTAAAATAATTAAGATTAATAAGGGTGCCTAAACTTTTTCATATGACTGTAGATGAAATACACAAATATCTAACATAATTGTTTTTAAAGACCAAATATGTACCACTGAATACCATTTATGCTTTCCTCTAATGAAATTTTACTTTAGCCCACTGCATATTACTCCTTCCTTCCCCCATCTCAAGTTAACCTTCAAGGATAGGACAAACAACCGTGCAGAAAGAGACTACTGGGAGGAAACCTATAGTAAATAACAGGGTCTTAACAGTGACATATTTATGAAACATGGCATTCTTTCTTGTTAGGAAAAAATAAATAGATATTTTAAACAATTGCTGACTGTGTAAGCTGTATATATACTCTTTACCTTTTCCAAACTTTTGCATGTTCCCTGAAGGTCCAATATCGTGCGTACATGCTCTCTGTTTTTACCCAGGGCGATCTCCAACTGATGAGCAAGAGGCAGCGTTGGGTCTGGGAGCGATTCTGCACCTTCATTGAACTAAAAAAACAAAAAACACAATCATAAAAACCTTGGATAAAAATAAAATAAAAATCATTAAAACCCATTAGTACTGATTTACCTTTTCAGCGCTGTTGAGAATCTCTTTCTGCTGCTTCTCATAGTGGTCCAGCTGGCGCTCCAGTTCCACCTCCCGCTGGTCCCATGCGAGTTGGCGTTCTTCTTGAAGCTAATTAGAGTAAAGAGCTTTCGTTCAAACACTTTGAACAACCATGCTCACTATTAAGGCTCATAAATGTGTGCTATCTTTCTCTACCTCAAATTCATTTTGCATTGTAATTTTCAGGTGATATATCAATAAAACATTTTTTTTTCACAGTTCTGAGAAAGTTGGCAGGTTTAGAGAGTTTGTGCTTGGAGACCTATAGAGGGTTTGCTTTTACCGAGTTCAGCTGAACAATGTCCTCCTCCAGCGAGCAAATAGCACGGTCCTGTTCCTCCACGAGTTTCTTGAGGAAGGCGATTTCCTCCTTCTGGACCACCAGCTCCCTACTCTTCCTCAGCTCCTGGAGACGGGCCTCCTCCATCTTCTTATGCCACTCAGTTACCTGTTTCATGTGATGTAGATTTAAGTTGTGCTAATGCAATCCAATAACTGCTCCGTCAACCCCCCATTACTTACCTTCTGGGCACCCTTCACATCCTTCAGGGTTGAGATAAGCTCCTCCAGACCTCGCAGCCTCACTTCCAGCTCCTGAGCTCTTCCTTCAGCTCTCCGCCTCTCCTCCTCTGCTCCTCTTCTCGCCTTCTGCGCTTCAGCTCTGTCCTCCTGGAGTTTCAGCATCGTCAAAGAGAACTTCTCCTGCTGCTGGAGGGGCAGCGCCCCGGCAAACTGCCTGCGTAGGGACTGGATGGTGCGGCGAAGGTGCGTGGCCCGATTACGGCCCTCCTGGCGGGCGAGGAACAGCGCTCGCTCGCTGGCATCCAACCGCTGCTCAGCGCGGAGCTTGTAGGCCTCTAGCTGCTGAATGCGAGAGGTGGCGGCCTCCAGTTTTCCAAGAGCGGCAGCCTCACTGAGCTGCAGGGCCACGATGTGCTGGTGAAGCTTCGCTATCAGGGCTTTCTCATCTGACTGTGACTGAGAAAAAAAAAGGTTTGGAGGGGTTTTCTCTCAAGAAATGTCCAACCAACAGGCCTTCTCTATGATTTCTATGAGTGTAATGCTATTAAAAAGTAGATCAATAACAGCCAACTGCTGCGTCCATTCAGAAAATAAAACGCCCTGCTAAAGTATTGGCACCCTTTTGGTAAAAATCGTACATGATTTCTTTTTATATTTTACCAATAGTGATCTGTTACTGAAGCTTTGTAGGGACAATGCAAGAGGGTGAACATCTTTACTAAAATTTCCATTGCAACAATTACCTCACCGAGCCATTTGTGTTTTGTTTAACACATTTTGCCAAGCTGACAGTTTGATGGGAAAGTTCCATTATATAACAATTTTTCTTTCTTTCTTTCTTGCTTTCTTTCTTTCTTTCTTTCTTTCTATCTTTTTATTTTTTTATTTTTAGCTTTTTCATGAAAACAAAGCTTTTTTTTTTTTTTTTGGTGAATTTCTGTGTTTGCTTCTTTGTCTTCTTTTATAGTGTATCAAGATCAAATCCCAGATTAAAGAGGAGACGTCATGATGTAAGAAAAGTACATTTAAACAATTCCTTCCTTTGATCATGATGAGGAACTTGAGATGCATATCATTGGGAAATACTTTGTTTCACCAAGACATGGATGCAGGAACATATCCCTGACTCCAGCATGTCTCTGCCTTGCCTTTGGAGGATGCAGGCAGACAGGCATGCCCACATTCCACGTTGCCGCTTTTCCTAAGCAGCTACAGGGAAGTTGGTCAGAGTCATTGGGAAGATATAATTAGCCAAATATAAGTAATCTAGGTAGAAAACATGTTAAAAGTTATGGAAAGGTTAAGGAGACCCATTCCTGCTGGGGTTTATAAAACATTGACTCAAATAAGTATGAATTAGTTTCTCTTTATTCACTTCACTGAGTGCGCAGAGAAGAAGTCGAGAATGTGTAGTCAGAGTTGAGCACACAGCAGACCAGTTTTGAGAAAGAACACAAAATGCAAAGTTTGTCTGAAAACTGTCGGGATTACCCAATGTAACACATCCAACCTCAACCACCTACAGCACAACCACCCTGTTGAGTTCAAAGATGTACAAAAGGCTCCATTATGTTCGCACAAACATTACACATAGTGTAAACATCTTTCTTTTTTTGTTCCCCTAAGTTAAAGTTCCATCTCTAATACTAATAGAACTATGACTGTTCAGTGCCTATTAAAGTTTATTGTTTAGTATTTAAAAGGAAACATTTTGAGCAATTAAAAAATGAGGCTACCTTTTCTTCCTAAGCCAGTTACTAAGACAAATACTTCATGTTGCAACCTATTTTACCAAAGAAAAAAGCTGTTTACATAATTCTTTCTAGAAAAGGCATCTGAAAAAGCAGCTAAATTATCAAGTTTGGAAGTTATTGAAAATCATTCCAAATATTTAAATGCTTAAGATCCAACACACAGTTTTTTATTACATGTATATGTCACTTAAACTCATGAATGATTATCAAAATCATTAATGAATAATACATTTATAATATTAATTAATAAATAAAGTAATTATAGCAAAAGAAGTTTAATTATATTTTAAAGTCTAAATGTATAACCTTATATTTTTGTAGGTGTTTTTAAACTTAGGCCTGTGTTATATATGGGGATTTTGAGCCAGTGTCCCACAAATAATGTATTATGGCAACATAAAAGCAGTTAGGACTCTTTTGTTTTTCCTTTATTAACCAATTCTTTTAAATATATAAACGTATAATAATACAAAAACCCGCTCATAGTTACCTGGTAGTCCATTATTTGTCTCCTTAAAGCTTCCACTTCTTTATCTTTAGATTTCTGTTTGGCCTGGAGAGCAGACACCTGAGACAAGGCCACATCAGAGACCTCCTGTAGCCTATGGAGAAGAGGACACATACATTACTTGGTATAAGGTCTCTATATTCAGTCCTAAGACATAACCTTGAAATGAATTTACTACCATGATGATCATTAGTGCAAAGGTGAGCCCTAAACCTGACGTTTGCAATCTGTCTCCAACAGGCACGGCTGCACCAATCTCAATAATTTACAGTTTTAACAGTAATCTTATGAGTGACTGGTACAGTCATGATATCAGTGAATCTATTAATGTTGATTTCCTACCCAGGCATCCAGATTCAGTCAAGATCTTATCTGCGCAAGGATAGCATCAAACACCCTCTCTTGCAGCAATTCATTTCCTTCAACATGGCATGATTCTAAAGGCAGTCTCCAACAACACCTATATTTCACGATAGCAGCAATCAAATGGAAATTATGGGACACCACCCAACGCACTTGGAGACCTCCACGCAAAGCTCGGCCTCTGCCTTCTCCAGCTCTGCAATCCTGGCTCTGTCAGCATCACTAATGGCTCTGCTGGTGCTTCCCGCCAGCTCGTCTCTTAGCTCCCGCTCAATCCGCTGGGCCTCCGCATTCATCTTGGTCAACTAAAGGTTTGATAAAAGTGAGATTTAATAAACAGAGAAAATGAACACAAAGGAGACATAAAACATGAAGCGATGAAACAGTGAAAGGTCTGAGTTCAGCATTAAAGAAGCAGAAGAGGTGACATGGTAAAGTGAACATCTTTCCACACAGACTCTGCAAATCATCAAACAACATGTGCTTATTAGATAATAGGTTCGTGTCCCAGACTATTTGGATTTGATCATATTGAAGAGCTGCCAGACAGAAAGCTAATCTGTGATGTTTTCCTTGGTCGCTCACCTCAGCAAACTTGGACTCCAGCTCTGAGTTACGCTCCTCCACTTGTCTGAGGGAGTTCCTCATGTGTTCATACATTTTGTGTGCATGCTCGGCCCTCTGCCTCTCGTTCAGCTCCTTCATCTCCAAAGCCGTGATTCGTCTTGCAGACGATATCACCTCATTGTTGATTGATGCCTTGTCTGCCTTGGCCATGCCAGTTTCAGTGCCTGAAAAAACAAAACAGATTTTGGGGAGTCGGAATCAATAGATGGATTGCATAAGCTCTATAGTTTCAAACATGACCCAAAATTACCCCAAACACTTTTAATGGACATTACCTTAACTTTACTCAGTGAGTTTTTTCACATCTGGTTACAGTCGCCGAGAGGAATGTAATAGTAAAAATGTGGGACTACGATAAGTGATTCAAAAATGTTCCTAGAGACAAAAATCTGCAGTGTTCTGGGGATTTAGAACCAGATTACTTATGGGGTTAATTTTTTTCCCAATATTGTTTAAAGCAAAGAACACATTTTGGGGTGACAGTGGCGTCGGATATAGGAGTTTGCCCAGCAACCGAAGGGTTGTCTGTTCAAACTCTGAGTCACCTCAGCTGGCTCCTTTCGATGTTACGGAGCAACAACTCTACTCAGATCTCCTGACCGTCGGTGAACGTAGATCTTATCTGTTTACAGACTTCATGTTTTCAAATCTCATTTTTTCCAAATATATTTTTTCCATTTTTCTTTAGAGTCTTAATATTTTCTTTTTTTCACTTATCTTTTTCTGATTAAGTTTTATTAATTAAATTGTCAAATTGCATTTCACAGATCACATTCTCCTCACTTCATGCCCAATACAAACACTCCCTCTTGACAATGACCAATAAACAATAATGTTGCTACAATCATGCTGAACAATAGAAATGCGTCTCCATAAAGCTCAATCTAAAATAATGGGAATTTGAAAAAAAAAGAAATGTTGAGAAAAGAGTAAATTTAGTGTCAAAATATGGTATTTTGTGGATAAGGTTTTCAAAGTTTAACTTTTTGTAGCACATTTTTACAAAACCTGTTCTTAGCTTGCAAGAATATTGGATATTACGAAACCTCAATTTTACAAATGTCTGCTTTGTTTCTGTTAACTCCTTTAAATTCTGGTTGTAAAGATAAACTTAAATGTCTACCAGAATTAATGGCTTTACACATTTTATTGCAGTCAAGAATGCTATGAACTGAATGAGTCCATGTTAGAAAAGAGGGCCGATTCTAATGGTGCTCACTACTCTCATATTTCCATAAAGAATCTCTTTATAACTGCATTGGTTTGACAAAAATGTCTTAACAACCCAAGCGCTGACATTATTATAATAGAGGTTGCATGCAGGGCAACAGAGGACATCAGAGAGGCTGTAATGGAACTGATGCAAACACTGCAACCTTTCTGTGTGGGAAACCTACGTGTAAGCAGTGGCCACACTGAGTGGCATCACTTAAACCCTGCATCAGTTTGGTTTATGACAGCGACATCCTCAAATGCAATCCTTACGATGCTTTCTTTGTTAATATCTCTTGTTTGTTCTGGACTGAATGTCTAAACTGGTTTATAGGTCAAGTAATAGTCAGATTCTAATCAAACAAAACATACAATATGCATTTTTTTTTGGTTTATTTTACTTACCGACTGAACCTACGTTATCCCATGCTTGTTCCATGGTATTGAGTTTTTCCTTTGTGATCTCCAGTTCTTTGTTAATGGCAGAGATTTGCTCTCGAAGAGACTCATTTTCGCTCTAAAATTTAAAACAAAATGATGAATAAACACAAAGAAAGTTCAGCAGGCAACTGTGCAAAAGACAGTGACCCAGCAGCGGCCACTTAGAGGTTTTTTAATCAGTTTTAAAGATATTTAAGACTTTCACCATTTATTGACACCCTTTTGAATACTTCCTGGTAAGTTATCTATATACTATATTCATCTATTAGTAAGACTGTTTATAATGGTATTCATCTCTATACTCATTCAATAGAAACACATGTCCTGTATTTATTTTAACCATTATTTATCCTGCACTTGCTGCTATTACACTTCTGGTTAGACCTAAACTACATTTCGTTGCCTTGTACCTGTACCTGTGCAATGACAATAAAGTTTAATCTAATCTAATATTGATCTGGACAGCATCGGTTGCAGCATACAGTAGCATGATTGTGGATAAAATGGTTCAATAGGACTGGAAAACAAATACAAGTTTTTGCTCTGACCGTATAAAGCGAGTTTTGCTTCCTAATTGTTGAAAGCTAAGAACGTGTTGTGTAAATGCAAATTTAAAAGAAAAAAACAATCCAGAAATAAAAACTTTTAAATATATTTTAGGTAAAAGGTTTTTAGAGTAACCTTCTTTTCTTTTTTCTTAAAGTTTAATTTATTTTTCATATTGTACATTATAATTTATGTTTTACAGATGTTATATGTATTTTATTTTTCAAATTTATTTTTTCAGATTTGGTTTTATAAATGGCCTACGACAATGGCGACCTGTCCAGGGTGTTTCCTGCCTCTCACCCATTTTTTTATTTTTTTTCTTATTCAAATTCCTGTTTAAAAAGTGTGTCCCTTGCCAGAAACATAATGGAACAAAATTCACTCTACCAGATTTTCCACACAATAAGCCGCTTCTTTTTTCCCACACTTTGAAGCATACACCTTACACAAAGGTGCAACTTTTATTTGGAATTTTCCTAACCACTAGGGGGCAGAGGTCAAAGTTGAAAATCAAAGAAGAAAGGGCTAATTTTCATTTAGCACAAGCTAACAGCAGGCATGATGGAGAACAAATGTTTTGAATTCACAAACATTGCAGCGAGCCAACAAGCTAATGGAAGCTAGCATTCTTCTTCCTCCCTACTCTATGACTGATACTGTATGTAGAGCTCCCCCTAAAGGTTTGGTGTGGGATAGTTCAGTAGATATTAGCTTACAGCTTGCAGGTTATATATATATATAATTCCAGTTGTAAAAAAACAAAAAACTTTACGGCTGCGGCTTATAATAAGGTTTGTTCTATAGTCAGGAAAAAATGGTATGTGAAAACACAAAAAGCTTGTGCAAGTTTAAATTGGTTTCAAATGCCACAATTTTCTCCCAATAGTTATCTGCCACAGAGCGAGCTTTTAACTCGACCTCAAGGTATTTATTAACATTAGAGAGCTTCTAGTTTCACTCTAGGTCTCAAAGTTCCTCTTGGCAGAATTGATACCTGGTTGGTTCACAATGACCATGGTTTACGCTGAATCCAAGAATTCTTGATGGGGTTTAGCCATTAAAGAAACTTAAAGTCTGCTTTATCCATTCCAGCTCCTGTGTTCAGATCTAAACCCTATTGGAACATCCAAAGTTACAAAGTTTAGCTGTTGACGTTAAGCAACAAAGCATAGCTTTTAGCCACCAGGGGGGATTTTACCCCACCGAAGGCTGCTGGCAACATTGCATCGTAAAAATTTACCGTAACAGCCACCCTTTATGTTTTCAGAAGACTTAGAAGTTATGGAGTTACATGTGCAAAAAGGCCCCAATCACTCCTCTAGATTAAATCCTAGATCAGACAACAAAAAATATGATGCTCTAAGTTTACATAGGTGAGTTATGTATCGACACGAACCAAGTGTTGTATATAGGGGTGTCCAGCTTTTTCATGTCTGATACTATACCAACATTGCAGCTTTAAGTAGTTGCCTGAAATCCTTGTTGACCCAAAACAATATTAGAAGGAATCAAACACACTTTTATTACTTATTTTGCAGTGTTACACACACAAAAAAAATGATCAAGTGATATTATTGAAACGGGTAACAACAGTCTTACATGAACTTTAAACAGGAACAGATAGAAGAAGCATTTAGTGACTCCAATAGCTGAAGACTGGGATGAACCACAACTTCAACACAGTCATGCATTTATTGAAATGGTCACTTTTGTTTAAAGAGTAAATAATGGAGTTTGTAATGTGTCTTATTACCTCTAAATGCTCCATTTTGGTGGCTCTCTGTATCAGGAGGCTGTCCTTCTGGAGCACGTCTCTGTATTTGACTGTCAGCTCTGTGTATTGCTTATTGGCCCTCTCCAGTTCTGATGCTGGCACACTGTCATCCAAGGCCTTTTGGAGGGCACCTATCTTATAGGCCGCCATTTCCTTTAAATAAAAAAAACAAGAGGGTGATATTAAAAAGACTACGTGGCAGTAAGAAGAATTTTACCAGAGATTTTTTTTCTGTAATTCCCAAAATTGTTGATCATCTGAGTGTGTCTGCAACTCCAATTAATGGAATGGTAATAACTAGAACATTGTATAACAATGAAAACAATTTATTGTAGATATTGATGATATTTATCCATTTTCAAAGACTCATTGTCTTTCAACTGAAAGCTAAACGAGGATTTTCTCTGGCCTGTTTCTGTTAAAATGGAAAATTACTTTTATTTGTGGAGTGACGGCCTAGTGGTCATAGAGCTCGAACAGAGTTCGAATAGAGTTCGAACCCCACTCCAACCGACTGGCTCTCCTAGCAAAGAGCTCCCTGGGTGCCCCCACAATGGCAGCCCATGCTCCTCAAGGGGATGGGTTAAATGCATGAGGTAAATTTCTCTAATGCGAGATCAATAAAGTTCAACTATTATTATTTATCTCTATTTAGAAGATACCAAGATGACTGTTCTTCTCCATCACAAAACATAAAAACTAGTTTTACAAAGAGTGTGAATTCTGTATTTTGTAATCTTCTGTGTTTGTATATTGATGTGAATAATTAATCACTTAAATTTTTTTGTTATTTATGGTTAATAAATGGACAGTAAGTTCAAATAGTTAGGATATTCCACTGGCAGTATCAATGCTGGCACATTTAGAGGGTAGCTGCTTGTTTCAGAAGTAGAGGACAACAAATCCACCCCACCCCCCTCCCCACCAAGTACGTAGGAAGTACGTAGGAACTGAAATTAAACCCAAAAGGATTTCTTGTACACATAGATGTCAAGTGGACAAATTTCTGAAAACACTGACTGTTAGGAGTAAAAGCTTTCCTTTGAACTGGGATACATGAAAAAAAAAACTATGCTGACTTTTTCTTCCCTTTGTGAAAAAATGCAACACGTTTGATTTAAAGTTAGATTTGGCTTTATTGCAGCATCATTGGCTTTTTGTTAAAAACAACCTTTTTTTATTTCAGTGCAGCACTGAGGCATGCAAAGCGGACAGGAACTGCGTCAGGGAATAACATACCAGATAAAAACGGCTGGACCTGAATTAAAAAATCAAAAAAGCTAAATAAATTATTACAGTTTAAAGCTGACATTGTTCAGTTGAAACTGTTTTCCTATGTAATTTTGAAGTATTTATTGAGTTATAAAATTGAAAAATCTGAATTATTTGTATTTTTTTTCTCTTTAAAAAGTCATTTTACTGTCCTTGATTGAGAGAAATATTGAGAAATTAATAAAAATCAGGCTGTCCTTGAAAAAGTAGCAAGAAACCGTGGTCCTAGTTATCAAAACATTCGAACAAATTAACAGATTTTGTTTGTTTTACAATAATTGGTCATTTCTTTAAATAAGCAAGCAACTGAACAATTACTTAATGGTAAAGTTTAATTTCTTAATCTTAATTCTTTATGGTTTAGCTTGAATTTTTCAAGGGAAAATAAATCTATATGTGTGTAGAGCAAAATAAGTTCCTTAAAAAAATAAATGGGGCTGACATTGACATGAATCTGCTTTTTAATTACTGACAATTCACTGAGAAGTAAATCTATCTTAGGCTGATCTGGAATAAATATGCAAATTTATATTTACATAAGTAGTTGTTGATAAATATACCGTGTTACAATGACACAATTGGAAACAATATTGTTTTACAACAATATTAATGATTAAAGTGATAGAGGATATAGATTACAGGATTTAAACTACTATACTAAAATTTTATGTTGTTGTTTCTTCAACAGGACATATGATAATAAAAGGGGGTGGGTATAAAAGAGGAAAAAAAAACTAAACTCATGAGGATCCATATAGATGCTGTCCTTTTTTCCATCTGGAACTGTCCTTTTGGATTTTGGGTCGGTAATTGAGAGAAGAATAAATAAACAACCTAAATAAAATACTAAGTTATGAATAAACCAGTAAAGTGAATAGCAATATTTCTAAAATACACTACACTTCATCCCCCATTAGCACACAAAACCAACTATAAGGAACATCACTAAAATCCCGTGAGCAAAGATCTGACAGATTTCTCTCAGAAAAGCAGTCTAGCATCTCCTATTTGACTGGAGCCATCAGTGCCTCATCGGGGGAGTCTGATGGTTGAGAATGACTAAAACAGAGTGCTCGGAAGATGACAAAACAAAGGTTACCTCAAGAGGGCTGGTGAAAATTAATCAAAATACTGGCTATCAAGATGAATCAGAGAAAGATATTGCACATATCGCAGAGGAGTATTGAATAAAAAGGAGCCAAAGTAACTTCAAATTCTGACTTCGAGGAAAACATGTCTTCTCTTTTGGATTAAAAGTTAGATTTATGGTGTTTTCAGGGAGGAGGATGCACGCAAATCCTTCCTGCAAACTAAAACAGAAAAACACTGGTCTTGATAAGATGAAGAGTAAAAACTTTGGCACAGATGGTTTCTTTCATGATGGTGCGGAAGAAACAGAAAAGGCTGACTGCAATAACAGAATAACACTCTGGTTTTTTTTTTATGTGAGCCTCAAAATGTTCTAAACAGCATCGTGTGACCAATAAAAGCTGCCGAAAGGAATAGTTTTCGTTTAAGCGATGACATCGTACACAGATTTACGTGCTTGATACTTTAGTTTTATGAAACCGATTAAAACAAGATGGGGCTGTGAGAAGACATTGTCAAGTGTTCAATCCAGTAGACCCTCGGTTAGATGACAACTTATTTACTTTAAAATGATATATGGACTTGTCAAAAAATATATACTGCTAAAAAAATAAAAAGGGAAAATGTCAGCAACAGAATATAACTTTGATTAAATCAAAGTTCCATGAAATCAAACTGCCCACTTGATTTCACAATCAATGTCACATGCTGTTGTGCAAATGGAATAGAAAACAGGTGGGAATTATTGGCAATAAGGAAGACACACTCAGTAAAGGAGTATTTGCAGGTGGGGACCCGAGACCACTTCTTAGTGTTTATGCTTTCTGGCTGATCTTTTTTTGTTACTTTTGAATGTTGGTGGTGCTTCGACATTTGTGGTAGCTTGAGTCGGACTCTACATCACACAAGTGGCTCAGGCAGTGCAACTCCTGTAGGATGGCACATCAATGCCGGTTGTGGCCAGAAGGTTTGCTGTATCTGTCAGCGTAGTGTCCAGAGGCTGGAAGAGCTACCAGGAGACAGGCCAGTACACCAGCAGACGTGGAGGAGACTGTAGAGCAACAAACCAGCTGTAGAACTGCTACCTCCGCCTTTGTGCAAAGAGAAACAGGAGGAGCCCTGCCAGAGGCCTGCAAAATGAGCTCTGGCAGGCCACAAATGTGCATTTGTCTCCACAAACTGTTAAAAACTGACTCCATTAGGATTGTATTAGGGCTTGAGATTTACAGATGGGGTTGTGCTCACAGCCCAGCACCATGCCGGATGCTTGTCCTTTACAGGAGAACACCAGGATTGGAAAATTCGCCACTTGCCCTGTGCTCTTCACTAGCGCTGGGTAAAAAAATATATTTAATCAATTTTGAATTGATTCCTTTACATTTTTGCAAAATCGATGTTTAGGGAATGAGATCGATTCGTTTTATAGTGACGCGCATGATGTTCACATTCAAATGAGCAGGAAAGATCGCTTAAAATACTTCAAGCCAGACAGCTGCAAATATAGCCAATAGGTTGATTGAAGACATTAACAAATGGAGGCTGACCAGCAAACACCCTGTAGTAGTTAAAGACAACGCTGCAAATATGGTTTATGCAGTGGAGATAATGCAGCTCATGCATGTCTGCTGTGTCCCCGCTGTGTCACGTCTGCTTGCTCGAGTGAGGCTTCACTTTTTCACTTTTCACAAACAAGTTTGCACTTTTGAGACAGTTTTGTTCACATCTCAAGTTTAAACTGTCCGATTATCAAGTTTGGACTTTGTATTTAATATGACAGGAAAAAATAAAATACATCAGTATTTTCCAACACATTTGAGCCACTTTCATTATTGTAAAAACGGATCGAAATTAATCGTTTAGAACTGTATAAATCAAAATCGAATCGATTCAGGACTTTGACGAAAACACCCAGCCCTACTCTTCACAGATGAAAGCAGGTTCACACTGAGAACATGTGACAGGTGTGACAGAGTCTGGAGACACAGTGGAGCGATCTGCTGCCTACAACATCCTTCAGCATGACCCGTTTGGCAGTGGATCAGTAATGGTGTGGATGGCATGTATTTGGAGGGCCACACAGACCTCCATGTGTTCACCAGAGGTAGCATGTCTGCCATCAGGTACCGAGATTAGATCCTCAGAACCCTTATGAGACCACATGCTGGTGTGGTTGGCCCTGGTTTTCTCCTAATGGTGGACAATGCCAGACCTCATGTTGCTGGAGTGTGTCAGTAGTTCCTGCAAGGTGAAGGCATTAAAGCTATGGAGGGGCCCTGTGTTCCCCAGACCTCAATGTGACCGAGAACATGTGGGACATCATGTCTTGATCCGTCCACCAACGCAGACTGTCAAGCAGTGGGTGGATGCTTTAGATCAGGTCTGCGACAAGAACCATCAGGAGACCTTCTGCCACCTCATAAGTAGCATGCCTAGGAGGCATGTGGAGGCCACACACAATACTGAGCCTCATTTTGACATGTTTTAAGGAAATTACATCATTAAGTCAAACTGTTGACTGTTATTTTCTGTGCTGAAATAGTAAATGATTAGATAGGATACCATTTTTCACCAAGTGTTCGTTTCATTCACATTGTGAGCTTTGCAATGTAGTTGCTCACAGAGAAATTGGTCTGTTGGTGAAAAGACAAAACAACTGGGCACTGCCCTATGGAAAGCATAGTTATGACATTTTTCATCTCAGAAACTAGGTCTCATTTGAAATCTGGTTAGTCTAAGACTGAGATGACACATACATAAAGGCATAAATGAGAGGGCTGTAGGGTGGGGCAGTGGGTAGCGCTGTTGCCTTGCAGCAAGAAGGTTCTAGGTTCGATTCTTTGCCCGGGGTCTTTCGGCATGAAGTTTGCATGTTCTCCCTGTGCATGCGTTTGTTCTCTCTGGGCATTCCGGCTTCCTCCCACAGTCCAAAAACATTGTCTAATTGTCTTTCTTCGGTGTGAGTGTGCATGATTGTGTGTCTTTGTGTGTCTATGTGTTGCCGTGCAATAGACTGATGACCTGTCCAGGGTGTACCCCGCCTCTCACCTGTTGAATGCCGGAAATAGGCACCGGCCCCACCGCGACCCTGACAAGGACTAAGCAGGAGAAAATGGAAAAAAAAAAAGCTTGAAACATGCTCAGGTTCTTTTGCTAGTTTGTTTTTTCTCCAATCTCGTTTGTAAGGGCTGATAGTATCAACAGTTGTTTTCATTAGAACAGTGACAGCGACATTAAGAAGGGGGCAGGACCATGCAGCAGGGAGTTCAAAAATACAACCCAACATGTGTATCCCGTTTTTGTTCACGGTTTTTTTCCAAATAAATTTAAATATATAAATAAAAAAAGAAACATGCAAACCTGAAAAAAATGAAAATAATAATAGGGCTACCTTGTATCTCTGCAGATAACCCATCCTTTGGATGACAGCGGCCTGCATCTGGCCGCTCTCATCCCTCATCTTGCTGTTCTCCTTGCGAAGCAGCTGTTCCTGCTCCAACAGAGTAGAGTATCGCCGGGTCAGTTTCTTCTCATTAACTTTCAGGACAGTCAGCTTACGGGACGCCTCGCTCAGCTGTCTCTTGATTTCTTCTGGATCTTTGTGAAGTGTTTCTAACAGATCCTAATGGATAAAATACACTGGTATTAAATCTGCATTAATACATTTTTTTTAAATGCACACGGAGAGAGGTTTTGGTGCATGTGTTTAGATTAAACTGGTAGTATGAGTATTTCTTACATATGTAAATGACTTTATTCCCAAAAAATTTAAATAAGCTCATTGATCAATACTGCATCTTTTGAAAAATTTAATTTTTATTTGTCTGACTTACGTTAAACTGTTGAATTTTCACATCATCCACTTGCTTTTGCTCCTCCAGCTTATTCTTCATGTCTGTGAATGTCTGTTTCTCTTTCTGCCACTCTGCCTTCTCACTAAAAAACAAAAAAGAATGACATTTTTTACCATTTCACTAAAATGGTTTGGATTCTGAATCTCGTTTTAGCTAACCCACCTTATATATTCCTTATAGAGGAGTCCCTGTTGATGGCTTATGACGGCAAACTTCTCTTTGTATTCTTTCAGAGTTTCTGCAAGTTTCTTGCTTTTTTCCTCCCTGTTTTTCAGCTCCTAACAAGAGCAGAGATATGTTGCAGGATTCTTAAAATTGTGCTCTAATTTAATTTAAAACCAGTTAAATTTTAACCTTAAGTAGAAAGCAAGTCTGACCTGAAGCAGTCGAATAGCATACTCATTCAAGGAGCTAATGATCTCTGCGCTGCTGGGCCCCAGGCCCTCAGGGAGGGTCAGAGGTCGAGGGAGGACTCCACCACCGTCTGACGTCCTGAGCAGCTCCAGCTCATTTTGGAGCTGACTTATCTGAGAGGTGAAGGTGACAAACAAATCTTAGCAGTCAAACTCTCAACTAGGCATCAACTTTTATTTTGAAAGTCACAAAAGTTGACTTCAGCGCACAGAAACAGGGGAGAATATAGAGGAGCATAAAAAGCAAGAGAGCAGAGGAGCATGGAGTCATGGTAGTGATATATTGGGGGCCTCATGGTATAACATCTGCATGCATAAAACATTCAAAATGCCTGTCAAGAGTAGTTTGCACACGTGTGTTCTAAATAAAACTGCTTGTTTCAGTATTTATTGAGGAGTTCCTGCAGCCCGATGACAGCAAACGTCACTACATGCTAATCCAGGAGGAATAGATTCTGCAAAATGGCTCGATGCAATAAGCTGGTTCTTCCTGGATAGAAAACCTTTCACCAATCTATCTCTATGACTGAATTGTCTCTAAAGTACCTTGGGAAGATAGGTGCTGTAATCTGGTGCAATGGATATAAACTGAAATTAATTATTCCAGAAAGTTGTTTGTATGAGACCTTTCTTCTATTTCTATAATATTTTAAACTATATTTTCAAATATGAGACCAGTTTGAACACTCATCTCATGCTTTGCTTTCTTGGTTATAAAAATGGGGAAAACACTTTTGTGAGCTCTGGTATCATTCAATTTTGTCATACCTTTTCCTTTGCTCTAACAAGCTGAGTGAAGCTGCTGCTCGCTTCTTCACGAGCGGATTTTAGCTCCTGCCTCAGCTCTTCGTTCCGCCCCACCAGTTGATGGATCTGGGACTTGAGGTCAGCATCAGGCAGCCCACCAAGGCTGCCCACATCTAAACCCTGTGACGAAAGATGAACAAACAAAACCAACAGCTCAATTGTTTCTCGTGAGCGAAAAAAAAAAAAAAACACATAAGGAAACCTGTACTGAGTACCAGTAAATGATTTAGAAGCCATACAAAATTCTTTCGGTTTTGTGCCACCAATCAAAGCAGTTTGATTACACTAGTTTGCAGCATTTAAATGTCACACAGCTATGCGGGCAGGTATCTTTCTTTTTAAGCACTTAGCTGTGAGTCTGCTAGCTCAGCGGCTCATTGCTCTCTAAACAACATCTGTGCTTTCGGCTGGCTCTGCGCTCACAGCCTTCATTTGGTTGGAAAACATCTGCCAAGTGTAAAAAATGCTTTCCGGGTTTTATTTCTTCCAGCTCCCCTGAACTGATGCAAAACTTTCATTAATTTCTACCAAAAGAATCCCTAAATTATATCTAAAGTAGATAGTTAATTATAAAGCATTATAGAATAGCTCTCTGTCATAGTTCCTCTAATTTTATCCATCCGATTAGGATGTAAATTTTACTTTGTAATTTCAAAATGTTTTCTCAATTTTTTTTATATCTTTACAATTTACTTGTTTTTAAAATAAAAGTTTTATACAGTCAAGTCATGGCATTATAAGGCAATGTTGGAGTATATCTGTGTAATTTGTTACATCAACCCAAGAGGTGCTTAACAGATGTAAGTGGATGTCATCATCGGTGAAATTCATCAGCCTAGTGTTAGCTATAGAAATAACAACCCCTGGTAATTTCATTTCCATAATGCCAATAAAGGCTTTTTTAAATTTAATTAGAAAAGCAAGGTTTACAAGATCACCCAAGTTCAGTTGACCACCACATTACTGTTTTGCCTTTTAGAATAAAAATAAACAGATGTAACAGGTGATTGGTGAGGGGAAGGTCTATATTCTTCTTTCTTTGCGAAAACAACACCGAAAGAACTTCACATTTGTCCAAAAACAGTAACGGAATACAAGGTATGTCAAAGGGATAGTGTGGCAGAAAGTACTGATTTAACATAATTTTTTTTAGATCTTGAAAAAGGTTTCCTTTTGACCTGTAAATGAGAATATAACGAAAAATATAAATCTCCTGTACAATTTTGAACTAATTGTCCACTGTAGGTATTTCAGGTTTTCACCATTTCCTGTTGACAATTTTCTATCATTCGGAGTCCAATTTTCAAATGAAATAACACAGATATACAAGACTTCACATTTGCTGGGGATCTTTCCAATGAAGATATTTGAATGATAATTTATTTGTTCCTAGAATAATAAATGCTTTTTTAATCCGCTTATTAGTGTACAGTATACAATAAAAACGTAATCATTTAAAACATATGCAGGATTTAAGAAAACAATAATGGGGCAATAATTTTATTTTTTTATAAATAGTCTCAGTAAAGGACTTAAAACCACTTTCACCCCTGGTAATAAGCAAGTCTTCCAGTGTTCTGTATCTCTGTGAGCAATGAGTTGTTATCAAGCTGGCTCAAAAAACCACCCACCCATCTGCATGAAAAGAAAAATATGAGCTATTCAAGCTGATATTAATGAAGGCTCAAAACCTAGAGAATAAATAAACACATATTTATATGACAATAAAAAAAAAAGAATGTTTATTTTGAGTTAATTCTGTGAATAATTTTACAATAATATGTGAGGTAAACTCATTTAAGAGTCAGCTGGGAGTGGAAGCAGCTCCTTTGGTGGGTTGAGCCCAAACAGCCGGCTCTCTATCATGAGCCAGATTTCCAACCCTTTCTCTGCAACAACTTTGGTGGCAAACAAATTAATCCTGGCAAAGGCAAACGTCTGGCTCCAAGAAACTGACAGGCTTTGGCTCTCTCTAGTTTAAAAGATGTTTTAAAACCATTAACAATACATATCAAAACACAAGGTGAACATATGAGCCTGGATGTAAAATTCTGGCGCTGTTGGATTTGAGAAAATACAAAATAAATCCAAAGCACTCATTAATTTGTGCTTTGCAGCTGTGTGAGATGAATCATTTCACACTAAAAAGATGAAGAAATAAACAGCCAAAAGTAATTTTTATCCATTTTAAATGCTAAATATTCCTCAGAATAATACCTCTATCATCATCATATATTTATATCTAGAAGAAGTAATGTTAATCTTTAAACTTTAAAGTAAGGACATGTTTTGTTTTCTGTGACAGATTACTAACATCTGCAGTCAATGTGGCCTCCATCTAATACTTGTAATACTTCCACATTACAGTCGTCATCTGCTGCGTTAAATGTTACCAAGTAACAGAACCAACAAAGAGGCAGCGACCAGACTCTTATTAAATATTTGAATATGTTCAGAGTTCGGCTTTATTTGTATTTACAGTTAAATTGCCTTCTGAAGTATGCTGGCTGGAAAAAAATCTTTGTTCCTGTTATACATTCTACCTACTGTATGTCTTTCCCCTTTTTTAAAGTTTCAAAAGCTTTTAAAACATCTAAGGATTTATAACATCAGACTAATCTAAATCAACTGAACCCCATGTGAAAACAGAATCCCCTTTACTTACACCATGTATTAAAGAAAAAGTACAGTCATATTCAGAATTCAAACTTCTGAAAATACTTTAAATATGAAATTATTACATAATGTTCAATAAATGATAGTTTTTTTTAATTAAGAGTAATTTTATTTGACTGTGCTGTGATATATCCATGTTTGTCAAAAGAACACTACTGCCGGAAGACGTCAGAAGTTACTACATTTGAGCAAAAATCGCCAGTCCCGGGCTTCCCATTTGTTAAAAAGTATGTCGTTAAATTATTTTAATGTGGGTCAAGGGAAGCCCTACAAATCTACCAAATAGAATTTCTCTATGATAAAATAAAAGCAATGGGGAGGGTAGGCTGGGTTATTTTAGCCAAAGTCCTAAATCGATTCGATTTTGATTCATACAGTTCTAAATCGATTATTTTCGATTAGATCTGTTTTTACAATAATGAAAGTGGTTCAACTGTGTTTAAATAAAACACTCATGTATGTAATTTTTTCCTGTCATATTAAATACAAAGTGCAAACTTGTAAATCGGACAGTTTAAACTTGAGTTATGAACAAAACTGTCTTAAAAGAGCAAACTTGTTTGTGAAAAGTGAAAAAGTGAAGCCTCACTCAAGCGGGCAGGCGTGACACAGCGGGGACACAGCAGACATGCATGAGCTGCATTATCTTCACTGCACAAACCATATGTGCAGCGTTGTCTGTTACAACTACTGGGTGTTTGCTGGTCAGCCCCCATTTGTTAATGTCTTCAGTCAACCTATTGGCTATAGGTGCAGCCGTCTGGCTTGAAGTCATCTTGAGTGCATCTTTCCTGCTCATTTGAATGTGAAAGTCACACGCGTCACTATAAAACCAATCAATCTCATTCCCTAGACATCGATTTTGCAAAAATGTAAAGGAATGGATTCAAAATCAATTGAATCGATTTTTTTTACCCAGCCCTAGGGGAGGGCATTTTAAAAATGTCAAGGAGGCACTGTAGAGCCATTTTTATGCAACTTTTCTGACACCCTTAAAATGCGAAAATTCTTCTCTTGTGGGAAGTGTTGGCCTAGTGGGTTAGAGCAGAGCGGTTGTGCTCTGAGAAGGTTGCAAGTACCAGGTTCGATCCCCACAGCCTCCACTTTGGGTTTCTGCCCAGTGGCAGCCCACTGCTCCCCAAAGGGATGGGTCAAAATGAAGAGAAATAATTTACCTACTGTGGGACAATAAAAGGATTTACATGACATTTTTCAGAGAAAATAATAAACATTGGTATTACAGTAGGTCTTCACAGCACTTTGCTGCATGGGCCAAATACAAACTGTTGAAGGAATGTGAACTCTCTTTCAAGACCCACTATCTTTATATCATGGTTTTAAAAGATAGTTTTTAGCCCTTCTTATGTGCTGGACATACTCACACTAGGCAGGTTCTTCAGACTGCTGATTGCGACAGCATTTGCTCCAGCCTCTTGATTAACCCTCATAGCTTGAAGAACATCTTTGAGCATGACCTCTAAATCCCTCTTTGCTTTTGAAAGGTCTTCCACTGTAGATCAACACAGAGCAAGAAGTTAATTACTTTTTAACTAGTGAATAAAAGTTTCCAATTAAACCAAATATCCCATAAATATTGTAAAAACAACAACAACAACAAAAAACACTGAGAGAATTCAGTTCAAAGCACTGAGAGCATCTCAAACCTACATTGAGCTTGAAACTCGGTCTTGTGAAGCTCCAGCTCTCTCTTCTTGCTGTTCAGTTCTTTTTCTAGGTATTCATTCTGCAAATCAAAGTTCTTGTGTTAAGGAAGCTAAAACAAATAATCACAATCAAATACATTGAATTAAGGAAAAAAACATTACATATTCATGACATTTTCCATACAATTAAACCTTATCTATACATGGAGATCTTTTAAATAAATCCTTAATAAGCCTAAGCATTGAACTTTTTCAGGTTTCATCCACATCATCTTGAACAGCAGCATGTTTTACAGATGAGAAGAAGAGGTCTTTGGAGTTTTGTTGTTTTTCTTCCCTTACTGACAAATATGTTCTTAAGATTGAACATGCATCTAATCTCACATCATCTTCCAAAACCTGCAGGGTCTCCAGGCATCCAAGTCTGTTCTCCTTTATAGCTCTTGAATGTGTCTATGCTCTGGCCCCAGTATTCACTTTATAAGAACTGATAACTTCTAAGAAAAGCTTGGGCCCCTGCAACAAAGATAAAGATAAAAGAGGAATAAACAATCATACCTAAGATAAAGACTCAAACACAAACAGACCCTCACACAGCATTTACCAAACCACTGTTGAGAAAGAGAAACTTGGACATGCTGCTGTTGCATAACTACATAAGATTGATTTTTTTTAATGTGCCTCTGCGCCTCAGGCTGACACTCTGCTGCTCCTCTCCAAAATTGTAGGTGACCGCAGACAGGAAGCTTCTGATTGGTCAATTCTACATCCGCTCTACACTATACGTATTTCCTGTTTGGTACCTTACCGGCTTGTTTTCTTTATATGACGCCATTGTGGAAAACAACTACCCGCTAGAAGAGCGAGGTGCGCAAGAACGCTGCGACCCTTTTTCCAACTGGATCCCCCGCTCTTTTTCACCCTCATGTCCTTCTGTTGTCGCACAAATTTTACCCCACTTCCTCATCGCCTCGGCCGTATCTACACCCAGAGCTAGTTCGTGATTGTCCCTCGTGTTATATTGGGCATAAATCCAAAATATCTGCAGCAAGCTCACTGCGACACACTGCTGTTGGAGTATAACCAGCCCTATAGAGCAGCATTCTACATTGTTGCGCTCTCCATATTATTAGAGGGTCTGAAAAACTGGGTCAGTCTTTCTGGTACAGCACTGGGCTGGTTAAAATTCTACATGAAGGACAGTAGGGATCTTTATCTACTGAGTCCCCTAAAACTGCATGTGGTGTCCCCCAAGGGTCCATCTTAGGGCCACTCCTACACAATATCTACATTCTTTCCCTAATTCAGATTTTAATAAATGTTTGAAAATGTTTAAGATCTTCTACTTTTTGAAATCATTCCAAGACCAGGAATCCCCTATATGCTGATTCACTAAGGACATTGATATTTAAAGTTAGGATGTTAGATAAAAGAGAAGACAAGGCATCCTGTAGATCAGGCATGTCAAGAGTCGGCCTTTGAGGGCTGCTGTACTGCATGTTTTAGAGGTTTCCCAGCTTCAGTACAGCTGATTTCCATTGATAGCTGGTTAACAGTCTTTTGCTAAACTACAATCATAAGAATCAGCTATGCTGATGCAGGGAAACCGCTAGAACCTGCAGGACTTTGGACATCCCAGTTCTAGATGCTAATCAACTGAGGGAATCTGTGGGGGTGGGGGGACAAACACATATCCATAACAAAAGAAGGGGTTTGTTTGCTGGAAGTGTTTTACTTTTGTCCCTCTTCATGTCAGACCCATGAAATTGCAACTGAGTTGCTGACAAATGTATTTCTGCTGGGTGCATTGATCCTTCATTATTGTGCTCTCAAAGCACAATAATCTCTCACGACACAATTTTCTTTCGGATTGGAAGCAATATCGTGTTCGATGCGTTCAGAGCTTTAAAAATATGGCCAGGACACTTGAGGGGGAGCAGAGGGTGATTATATGGGATACATTATTTTGTAGGTAGTTCAACCTGGTCTCCATCTCGGGAGGTGCTCTATGTGTTGAACCTCTTGCTGCAGTTAAAAAGACCTGTGATCTCAACAAGGTGGGAATCTGATGTTTCTCTTTTAGTAAACTAAATAACAATTATTCCCAACAATAAACAACAACATAAGTTACAAAAATATGCGGGTGCCAATGAACCATCCATGCACTAGGTAAATGCAGGGAAAAAGAGAAGATAAGAACTCAGGGATGTGCCAAATTTTTCTTCAGCGGAATCAAAACAAAACTTAAGTTATAATTTATGGACCAAAGAAGAGGAGTTCAAATATTACAGAGCTTCAGGTTATAGAGCTAGAAACCACCAATCAGGCTCTAAATCGGAGTGTAGTGATGGACTCAGTACTAAACCTTCAGAGGCTGGTAAATACAGTAACAAAGTCGGCCTTCTATCATCTAAACAGCATCTCTAGGTTCAAAGGAGTTAGATCTCAGTTGATGATCGTGCCAATGACATGTTCATCACCTCAGCTCCTACACAAGCTTTATAATCACTGATTAACACAAGAATACAAATAAACTGAAAAGATACTTAGGCAGATTATGAAAGTAGATCAGATTGGATCATTTCTGTTTCTACCCATGGGCATTTATTTCCATGCAAAAAAAAAATTACAAAATTTAATTTGTGGCTCAGGTGTTTACCTTTTGCCTAATCTTGTCATCGGTAATGATGCTGCGTGGTTTATGAAGCGCCTGCTCTTCTCTTCCAGAGAGGACATCTTCCTCAAGCTGCACACTTGACTGTGGAAATCCTGCAGAAAAAGCTGATCATCAGAACAACATGTGGTGTCTGAAGTGTCCCATAAATCACGGGCTAGTTTTATAGCCCAGCACAAATTGAGAAAACTACTTCATAATTTTTTTCCCCCGTTTTTCAAGAAATGCAGTTTTCTGTAAGCCAGGTTTCTTGATGAAAAATGTTTTGTAAATAACTGCTGTTTTCTCAGACATTTTTTTTCAAATATCATTTCTTTTGTTTTCTTCAGTTATTCTTAAAGATTTTATATATTTTCAAATGTAATAACTTTATAACATTTGTTATTATACATTTACTTACAATTAGTCGAATGGCGCCTTTGTCGTGGCCTGAGGGGGTCTGTATCGCTTTCACCAGCACAAAGCAAATTTCAGGATGGTGGCATTAACTCTATGACACTAAACAACTACGAATGTGCAGACTGCTTTACGACATAAGTAAAGAAGCCCCGTTTTCCCCATTCGTTATAAAGAATGAAGTTGATCTGACTAAATTTCCATGAGAGACTATATTCCTGCATATTAAGCAGGGTTGATATTAAGGCATTTCACCTGCTTCCTGCTGGGATCTATACGTGTGTTTACCGTTTAATTATCAAACACTACATTATATTTATCGGGTTCAAAACTCTAATCTCGTCAGCATATCAGTTGCTGACGAATCGGAAGAAGTGGGGGGGTATAAACATTTCTTATTTTCAACATCGTCATATGACATTATTTCACCATTCATTACCTCACTAATCATTTCTCACACAGCCACTGGAAACAGAAATGTTGTTCAAACCAACTGCAAGCAACCAGGATTTTAACACCCTACGCCCTGGTCCTCATGGGAGATGCTACCTTCGTTTAGGCAAAACAATACAGCTTTTGTCCACTGGGGGAAGCCAGTAAAAGTTCTTTAGAACAGCTTTAAGTGTCTCTTTTTAGATGAGTTGTACCAGTTGTATTCTTTTCAAATGTCCTTTTACATATCATATTCTTTTCATTTCAATACAAACTCCGACGTTTAACCAAAAACATATTGCTGCAAACGTCAATAGATGGAGGGAGGGATGTATGACGGATGGATGGGTGGATGGACGGACTGACAGATAGAGGGATGGATAGAGACATGGATTGGTGGATGGACAGACAGATGGAGGAATGGATTGATGGAGGGATGGATGGGTGGGTGGATGGATGGTTGGACATATAGACGGAGTAATGGAAATTCTCTAGCTGGACTCTAGAACCTGCTCGCATGCTCTGTTCCATCTAAATTTGCCCTTTCACCTCTTTCTTTCACCATGCGCCTGATCTGTTTCTTCAGCTCCAGTCGCTCTTCTTCCAGTCGTTCAATCTGGAACAAAACCAAGCGGACATGCTGAAATAAGGTCACCTTAACAACATTTTAAAACCAGCCTGATCTCCTTTGATCCCATTTTTACCTCCTTGGTAAGAACTTGGTTTTCAGCTTTGTACTGCCGTTGCCTGAGATCCCTGGCACGCCTAAACGCCGTCAGATCCACTTCTTGCTTCGGCCCCAGACCTGCTCATGACCGGAAAATCCATAAGCGCACGTTAAAATTTGAGATGAGTCAGTGTGTCTAAACAGAATGAGGACGGTGGTGTTTTTAAAATCTCTGACCCAGTTTTTCCCGGAAATCCTCGTTTTCGTCCATGAGGTCATTGATTCTCAGCTCGAGCTGGTTGATCTCTTTGGTCATGGCCTCTGCCTCACGATCTCTCACTCTAATTTGATTGTTACACTCTTTGATCTCGGCAATAGCTGCTTCCAGGCCATAAGTTCCCTGCCATACAAAAAGGTCTGTGATTAGTCATCCCTCAAAAAGCACGGCTTGTCTCAATTTTGTTTATTTCTTTGTTTTTCGTCTCATATGCTTTTTTTTTGTGGAATTCAGGGTGCAATTAGCTGTGGTGTACAACAAACACTATGCTTGTGAACCCAAAAAGCATGTTGATCACACTACAGTCCAAAGGCATTTTAACATCCCTATTAAAAGCAATGAAAAAGAAAATCACAAGCCCTGTTTCTGTGAAATTAAGAGCCAGTTAATTTGATTTGGGTTTAAGAGAAAGCCTCGGAAGCTAAAGCCTGAAACAAAGGAGAGAAAGAGCGTATTTGTACACTTACGGACTCGTATTGGCTCAGGCGATTGGAAGCTTCAATGAATGCTCTGTCTTTTTCCTCAGCGTGTGTTTCAGCTTGTCTGAGAGCTTGCTCTGCTTCCATTGCTCTGGTCTCTGCAGCTTTCAGTTTTGACTTTAGCTCCTCTATCCTTCTCTGATGTGATGTCGAAGATACACCTTAGCGCAATAAAGATGAAAAGTAATGACAAACTTTAATGACCATACTAACACCCTGGACAACTTCCAGTTTAACTAAGACAAATTTTAAATTCATGTTCCAGGTGTACACAAAATCATCATGACAGTCACTGCTTGAAAAATTGTGGCTTTTATTGATTTTTATTTGAATTGCTCCTTTCTACAACCCGACTGGGCTGAAACAATCAATCAGATTAATTGACTGAAAATTGGTCAACCAATTAATTAATCTCTTAATCGTTAACTGGAAAAAAGACCCTAACACATCATCAGCTGAAAGAGAAACCCACTCAAAGCAGCAATAATGCCAAAAAAGAAAAAAAATATATATACATAAACATTTTGTTTTTAGGATGAAAGCTCTTCTTGTCTTGGACTATTAATCCATCAATCAAAAATAATCTACAAATTAAGTGATCAGCAAAATAATTTTACAGCCCTATATTGTGAAACAAATTCAATTATTTCTTGTGGAGATGAGTCAAAATGTCGTCCAGCTGATATTTCAGGCCGATATTAAGTGTTATTTGTTGGATTCTAAAAGAGTTAAAAAAAACAATCAACTGGACAAATTTGAAGATATTTCACTTCCCATCACAGAAGCTTTTTCAATTCAAATGTCTCTTTGGAACCAACCAGCGTCCATCGATCGGGATGGACACTGGTTTAAGAGACTTTAATTAGTTGTTGCATTTTTACCTGAGCTTGCGTTAGATACCAGATGTAACAAACTTGACCCAAAATATTAAAACAAAGATGCACCGAGCCAATATTTTTATCGGCCAACTCAACTCAAACTTTATTTCTAGACCACATTTTAAAACAACTGAGGTTGACCAAAGTGCTCTGCAGGTAAAACAGTATCTATGTTAAAAAAATAAATAAATAAAGGAAGAAATGTCTAAGCCATGTAGATGTATAAAAGCAACTGGAAACCAGTTCAGGAAGCCAAATGCTTTGGTTTCCAATAAAAAGCAGGTTCCAGTGTGATGAGGCCTAACCGCGTCATCAACGCAGCATGCAATGCAACGGGGGAAAAATGGTTACCTCCATGAGTAATACATATAACAAAGGATAAGTATTCGTACATGACAAAAACAATTTTAAGTCAATAGGAAACTTAGCATTTTAAAGCCTCTTTACAAAGGCTTTGTTTTTCAAAATAACTGAAGATGTATGTTTCATACTGAAGTCAGGAGAGTAAAAGAACATTTCCAATAAATTATTATGGTCTGTTGTCAGAAAATTAAAATAACATTTACGCCTATGACTGGACCATAGGCTTCATTTTCATAAGAGGCTGTTTCCTTATTTTACGAACATTCAACTTATGAAAGCAGATTTTTTTCCCCACCAAATGACAAAAACATCAGATTTTAAATGATTTCTTTACTTTGTGAAGCTGTAACCTTTGCTAACATGCCAGCAAATATTTTCCAAGTTTTCCCTTCAATCTATATTCTAATTTGTTAGCAGTGAGGGGTAAACCAGTGCAGTGAACCATCAAACCAATTCCAGTGGTCTGTAACTTATCCCGTTTATCCCTTCGTTTCTAATGAAGTTTGTATAAATTTATATAACAATATTTAAAGCTTTAGCTTAAAAAATGATAAAAACAATTCCACTAATTCTCCTTATCTATAACTGAGCTTACCACTAGAAAAATGCACTGACACCATGATCAGTCAAGCCACGAACCAACACACCTTTGTCTTTTTCTGTGGACATCTTTAGCTCTTCAATGAGCTGGGCGTGTTTCTCCATTTCTCCTGTGTACTGCTCCACCTGCTTGCTCAGCATCTTGATCTGATTATCCCGTTCTTGGACAGCCTGAGGGACATTCAAAATAATTTCAAACTACTTTTAAATTTTGATATGCAGCACTAAACAGTCCTAAAATGCTACAATATGGATGGTTTCAAGGGCAACTTCAAAAAAGAAACAAGCAGAGGCTAAGAAGAAGAAGAAGAAACAGGATGAAACTTACGCCACAGAGCTCATAAATGACCTGGGCCAAAGCAGCGATAGAGGAGGACGGGACGACAGGTGGATCAGAAGTAAAAAAATAAAGGTCATGGTTCAGACAAGACAGGAAGAAAGTCAGAAAATGGAGAATGGCATGTGCAAAGAAAAAAGGAAAAACCTCTCGTCTCCTTGTTAAGGAACTCAAATCATGTTTTAAAAGGTACTTTGTCACATGACAGTAATTCACCTTGGTTTCATACGTTTTTATGACAAATTACATCTTCCTGCTGGTGTGCCAAGTGTTATTTTGGTATTTTAAGCTTTTTTTTGCCCATCTCGTTAGCAAATATATGCTTTTTGTACATATTTACCATAACAACATCATGCGACCGGGATTTTGTCACTGTGCATGCAATTGGTCACTGGAACTAGCCAGATTGATATGTGTAGAATTGAGTTTAGTTCTACGGTATCAATCTGGGATGGCTGCCGTTCAGTCTGTCCGTGAAAATGCACAAAGTTGGCTGAACGCATAATATGGAAGGCAGGTACTAGCTGACACGTCACCCAATCAACTCGAACTATTGTACTAAATGTCGAGCTGATTGGGTGACGTGCCAGCTAGTACCCGCCTTCCATAGTATGCTTTCAGCCAACTTGGTAGTCCATGTGAGCCACCAGCAGAGACACGATGATCACAATAGGATTCGTCTGCAGCATCTTGAGTATTTTCACAACTAGCGGAGAAAGCTGATTAAACAGACTTTTTCAAATCCTGTCAGAATAAAAGCAGAGACATCTTTCCCATCCACAAGGTGCTTCTCTTTGCTCCTTTTTAAACGAGTTGCTATTTTAGCTAAAACAGAGTCAATTGCGGTATCGACAGGTAAGTCCTCCAGCATAGCCATGGTTTTAATGCCCCAGCAAGGCCCTTCTGACTATAGCCATTCCTGCATGTCCCGCACCAAAAAACATCATTGTTCATTGGTCACACTCGCTGGTCCGACATTGGTCCGACTCACTGGTTATTCGGACACGGATGTTTTGGCCACACACACACACATATATATATATATATATATATATATATATATATATATATATATATATATATATATATATATATATATATAAAACAGCTGAGGTCTTTTATTTAACATGATTACTGAACACCTGAATACCTATAACAAACACTCCATATTTCATCCCCTCCAAAACTTTGTTTTTCAACACAAAATGTCTTTGAAGGTTGTGACTTGTCTCGATGTAAAATATGGATCCATTAAACTACAGTAAAACTAAAAGCAATAGTCAGATTTATGAAGGGCGGTTTATCCTGAGAAGCTGTGAGGAGGAAATACCTTAGTGCTAGTTCCTAGAGCTGCACAGTAAATCTAACCAAATTCATTGCTGCTTTGGCGCAATCATTCAGAACCGCTTAAATGCAACCTTTTGAGAGTCTTTTTTATTTTCTGATGCCTTTGTTTTCTGGATTCAAATAATATATTTCCTCTACTGGATGTACTTTCACTGACCTCAGTGTTGAAACATGGATTAGAATAGATTAATCAATGAAAGACAAAAAGCAAAAAAACTCATCATCTGGATCCAAACTGCAGAGAAGTTAACGCCTTCAGTTGCAATACCACTGATGACCACTAGGAACAGCTGGGCCAGGCAACAGAATATTTCTTCAAAGCAAGGGTAGCTTATCAAAGCTGAAACATTTACAGTCATAGATGCACATATAAAGTATTTTCCTTATTATGGCCTCTGAAACCAAACACTTTGGTGCAAACCTTGTGGTAGTTCAAACAAATCCTTTTACTTTAGAACTTTTTGCAGCATATTTGGTTTTCAAAACCAAATAAACAGAAAATATCCTATATTTGACTTATTTAAGTAAAATGTAAAAATAATTCTGCATGTTTAATATTTTTAAGTAGCTGTAATGTTGCTGCATGTTAGGGAACTTACACTATTCTTGTAATATGCCAGACTTTAAGGGCACCACAGGGGAAGAAACTGAAATGTGAGACATAAAAAACGCACATGAGGAGTTTTCACCCTTCTGCTATTTTAGGACAGACCTGCTGCAGAGCAATTATGTTGCTTTTGTCCAAGTCCAGCTGTGCTGAGCGCAGCTTTTCCCTCAGCTCACGGATCATCTGTTGGTACACCGCCATTTCATCATCCTTCCTAGAGAGCACCCTCTGTGTGAGGAAAACATCTTGTCACCAAAGTGAATGTTTGTTCAAGTAAGAACAAAATATTAAAAATCAAAACACACAGTAAAAAGGTAGGTTTCAACAACAGTCTTCTCCAAACATGTTTTGCACTTATTCTAGCTCTTGAAAACACTGAAATAACGCAATGTTACCCTGAAACAATAAGGGCAGCAAAATGCTGATGAATTTTTTCTTTCAATTAAATGTATTTATTTTCTATCTGTCCGTATTGTCTTTATTTTATGTTCAGCTCAACAAGTAAACTGAAATGAGCCACTTGAAAAAACCATCTTCAATCTCATCGCAATAACAGTCGCTTCAGTCAGAGGCTTCTCCGGAACAGCTGAAGGACAGACCACTACAGGAAATCCTTCCTGCCCATTAACAAATACAGTCACATACTGTCAATAAAAACAAACAACTGACAAAAGCCAGACATGTAATTAATCATTCTCTGAAAAAGGTTCTCATTTATGAGTATTTATCAGTGTAAAAAGAGAATATATAACTGAACAGCTAAAGCTCAGTTTTTGGCTAGAAACTGGTCAGTTTTGCCACAATCTCCCTTAACTAATGCATAAAAAACACATATGAGTTATAAAGTGTTTCATAACAGATTGATTAAGAAATATATATAAACCTTTGTATTAGCCATCTTTTGGAAAAATTTAATAATTTAAAGTGAAGTATCATTACATTATACTGCATATAACATCATAATCGATGGTTAAAAACAACAGTTTAGGAAATGTTTGCATTGGTATTTAACATCAGCCCAAATTGCTGTTCAAGTAATATTTCAAATGCAGGAATGTCACTCAGAATTGAATCGGAAAGAAAACTGGTGGAACATCATTATATGACCTTAAAATGCTTCTGAACGAGGTGTAACACATCCAGGTTTCCTGTGATAGATCTGGTTCTACCAAACATAACAGCAGAGATCGGATTGAGATGTACCCTGGAATTGTAAAACCATCCATGATAAAGAGGCAAGAATGAAGGCTAGTGAAGCAAACATGGGATTAACCTGTGCTGGTTGATATAGAGGTGAGGTTGTTAATGACACGGAATGCTTACTGGTTAAAATACGCTTGGCATTAAATGACTGCCTGTCATTGGCTACTTTTCAGGAAAGCCTGCCTCTTTAGACAGTATTGTGGTCTTCATAGTTACGGCTGGAAAAGTTAGCAAAGCATCTTCAGGTTAATCAATGTTTCCCTCGAGACTGACTTCATAACCAGCAGCATCTCTGTCATCAACTGACAATTTTGTAAAAATAATCGTGGATAAAAAGAAAAAAAAGACATAAACAGTAGCTAGAAACTGATTCCAAATGTTTTTTTGTTTTTGATTAAGAAAAAAACTTCTTGGTGCAAAGAACATAATTAAACTCTAAGTAAGCCCGTAGTGTAAATAGTTTTTGGCTTAGCAGAATGTATTTATGTCTCTAATTATAAGCTGAATTGGTGTGCATTAGATATAATGCAAATGAAATCTGCTGAACCCATTTTTCCAAAACCATTTAGGCTGTGACCGAATATCCACCCTAATCACTATACGGGCGCTATATAGTGTTTACGCCATTTTAAACCGAGCATCTAGTAGATGAAAAAGTAGTGGGCTCGAAATTTCCCACAATGCACCTTGAAAAGTAGTGATCATCCATTCTCATCAGACGAGCAGATATATCCCTGAATGCTTTGCTTGGAGGGTTCTCCTTGCAAAGCATTATGGGATTTGTTGTCACAGCGGCCCGCTGTCGCCACAAATAACAAAAATGGGGCCAGCACCGTGCAGGGAGGTGGAGTCACGTGACCAACAGGATGCGAAAAGTAGGGAACATCTGTCCGAACGGTCAGTTAACTGAGTTCACAATAATGTTCAGTATAAAGTCCCCGCTTTATTAGATTAGATTAGATTAGATTAGATTAGATTAGATTAGATTAGATTAGATTAGATTTACCTTTATTGTCATTACTCAGGTACAGGTACAAGCTTCCATAGCAGCAAGTGCAGGATAAATAATGGTTCCATAAATACAGGACATGGGTTTCTACTGAATAAATATAGAGATGAAACCATTATAAACAGAATTTTACTAATAGATTTGTCCTCTGAATATAATATATAGATAATTAGTGTCATGAACTAAATTTACAGCTGGATATGTACCGAATATAATATACAGGTGGATATTACTATAAAAAGGGTTTTTACAATACTTTTTTTATAGTATTGTTTTTACAATAGCATAATATATACGGTGGTTTGGGCACAGCATTAGTTTATATGTTTGTGGAAATTTGTTCAAATAAAACATTTAAATTCCCTAACTAATCCTACATCTAATGAGAGAATGTAAACCTCTGACTGCATTGGTAAAAGCTTCTAATATGTTTGTCAAAAAACGATAGAAGGTTCTCTGTAGCATCTATTTCTTTTAGGAATACCTCCCTGTAGATAAAAGAAAAAGTGAAGCCATTTTAATTATTTTCTACATTCATCACTCACCTTCCACTCCTCCACTTTGGCGTTGACAGCTGCCATAATTGGTTCGTTCTCTTCAGTCATGCTTTGAATCTTGTCTGTCAGCTCTCTAACCTGCCCATTAAAGCAAATATAACCTTACTTCAGTGCAAAAAGACATTTCTTTGATATTATTACTCCAACAATTTTGCTATGACCTCACAAAGGAATGATGAATGATACCCCATAACTCATCTCAGCATGGAAACATATTTTAGAAACCACCCACTGATTCATGGTGTGGATCAGAATGTGAAAAAAAAGAACCAAAAAAATAACTAGCACAGCGTTTGAAAGAGAGCGGGCTTTACTTGAAGCTTCGTGTGATCTCTTTCTTTCCTGAGTTGGTCCATAATTGAGTCAGTCTGCTGCACAACGATCTTCATCTTGTTGTACTCATCTGTCATCTTCTCCATCTCCTTTACAGACTCCTCCAGGCTTTTCTGCAGCTGCTCGTTCTGTGTCTTCAGGTGTGCGTTTTCATCCTCCGCTCTCTGTTAGGGGCAGAACAATATAATAAATTAGATCAGTGAAGGAAACTTTAAAGCTTGCTGCACACAATGAAAGCTGACAGCCAGAAGAAAGAATTGTATGTTTTTGTCTTCATGTATGGTCATTTATCTCATTTAGCAGCTAAATGAGATAAATGAGATGAGATCTAAGCTTTTCAACACACCTGAAGGTCTTCAAAACACTGGTAAAGCTGGCGGTTGGCCAAGCTCAGCTTCTTCTGAGTCTCTGCACTCTCGTCTCTGGATGGGAGCGGCTCCTTCTGTTCCAGCTCTCCACGGTAGAACTCCACATCCTGCTGGAGCTGCTCATTCTGGGGCGACACAGGAAGGGTAGAAACAACATCAGGATGGACTGTGATTTTAAATCGGAGCCTCAAAGATAACAATTTGTCGTCTTTTTAAATCATCAGCCTTAGTCTATGATGCTACATAGTGAGGCAGCAAATGCTGGCAGCCTTTTGGAAATCTAGGATCTATGTTTTCTAAGGCAGGGGGCCCAAAGTGTTGCTTATCAGCCATTTACAGCCTTCTGGACAATTCCTTTCAAAAGACATCAGGGTGATTCATCATGAGATTAAAATCTTATTAAAAAGGAAGATTTTACTATGTATATTTTAAAATGCTTTTCCTCCTATTCTAATTCCATAGTATTTAGAACCGCAAGCATCTAACAAATGTAAACACAGAGTTACATTCAATGTGGAAGAGGTCTGGCAGCACCATACTTTATGCAAGGTCCCCTAATGCACCAGGCGGGCCTCTGCACGGTTAGACTGGGATCAAGCAAGGGTTACATCATAGTGGACTCATAGGCTTTAATATGAAGTCAGAATCAATAAATACATTAGCATACTCATTCAAGTGGTTTTATTAAAAAAATTATGCAGAATTAACGACATGATGACCATAATATCTCACAGGTCTGAGCTGTTCCTTTGTTCTCCTTGCTTGCTTTTTATGCTTCTGCATTATCTTTCACTCATGTTTGGATCTGTTTTTGAGGCTCATGTCAACGTTTGTCACATTGAGGCTGGAGCTAACCAGAGAAAGTAAACAGCCTGTGATTGCCTACTTTTCAGGAAAAGTCCCTCCTCTTGGGAGAGTAATTTTTTTTCCCCCAAGTTGCGGGACGCTACCGTTAAGAGAAAATGCTTAACTGGTTAAAATGAAAATATATGTGTTTAGCTATAATCAACAGTTCATCCAAACCTCATTTTCTGCTGTGTAAACAAGTCTGGCCCAAAGTTGGCCCTCAAGGGCCAATCTCCTGCAGGTTTTGTTAGGCCTGGCCTAAACAGTAATGCTAATGTTAGCTTAGCTCAATTGAGTTCCAAATTTAACCAATCATTTTAGAGCATGTTGCTACTGCTTTCAGAACACATTCATGATTGTGTTAAACCAAGTTACTTAAAGTTATTATGGAGGATGTTCTTTTTCCGGGTGAATCATCAAAAAAAGTGGAAAGTAAGCGTGAATGAGTGGTGCAAAAAGCAGCTTGTAAACAGAGCGTGCATGAGGAGAAATGGGCTCCTGCATGCTTACGCAAGCGGTTAATAGGCGTTCTGTCTCAGGAGCGGGTACTGGGTTGTGCGTGTGCATTTTTTTTTTAAAGCGGAGGTCTTTTCAAAAATTCACGAAAATCCTCTACTATATCTTTAATTAGGACTTCGCTTAATTGATCTTTCAAATGATGACAACGATGGTTTTTAATATGAAGTCAGAATTCACTTCTTTAGGAGAGCAGCTATCAGCTGTGCTAAGAGGTGGGATTTCCTGAAAAGTAGCAAATCAAAGGCAATTTACTTTCTCAGCTTGATTCCTTCCTCAAAAGGACAAAATTAACAAAAGACTTAGACAACTTTTCATGTCCTTTTATAAACAGTGTATACAACATGAAATTTTGTTTGGTACAGCTTCTCAGACAGTATATTGACGTTTCCATTCCATAAAGTGCAGCAGTGATCAAATATAAACAGTGTGGGAGAAAGAACATGGTGCAAAAAACACACTGATATGGAAGTTCAGAGCATATATATGGTGCAAATATGCCGTATTTTTGGTTTGGTGTTAACAGAATGATGCAGAGTGACTCATTGCATTGAATTTGCATGTATAAAACTTAAAATAGGTGTGACGGCTAGTTTAGGTGTGTGTGTTTTAAATAAATCTGCTTATATGAGTATTTATTACTATTGTGCACTTTTGGCAGACTTCATACTGATTCCACAAAGGTGTGAGTGACATTGTTTTGTTTCTGTGTATCCTTGATCAGTTTCAGCAGCAATGGCAGACCCAGATGTTTAATGAGTCTTAAGTTTAACTATCTATTCTGACCTCACTACATTTCCTACGTTATCTTACCTTCCTCTTAGATTTTTTCAACTATCCAACGGAGGAGAACAAGGCAAAAAAAAAAGAACAGAACAAATAAAGAACATATGAAATGAGGCAGAATTTCAAAGGGAGGTAAGGAAAGGAGAGGACACAGGAGAAGGGAATGGAAGGACGTCTCATGTCTTTGCAGCCACTGCTCACCTCTCTTTTCAACTTTTTCACCTCGCCCTCAGCCTCCTCCATCCGTGCAATCAACTAGGAATAAAAAAAAGGCACAGAAATGTTTTGCCACAAATGGGATATTGCAAGCCCAGTTTCAGTTAATTAAGAAATGTAAAAGAAAGTGATATTCTAAGATCTATGTGCATATTTCAGAGTTTAATCAAAACATATAATTTGTATGTGGTTACCTATAAATGACTGAGATGTGTTGCAAGAGTAACCAAACAGTCCCCTTTAACAGCAGGTGTTTAAATGGACCAAACAACAACACAGTATGGAAACCACACAGGAGGATTATCCGGGTACTGTGGGAGGCACACTCATACCTCTTCATTTGTTTTCTTTTCCTTGCCCATGTCTTTCTTTAAATGGGTCAATTCCTTCTCCCGTTGCTCCAGCTGAGCCTCGAGCTGCCGAATCTCATCCCTGAGAAAGCGGCTGTCTGGCCCGGTGCCGAGCTGCTGAGCCTTGTGGATCGGAAACGAGACAGAGAAAAAAAGAAAAAACTAAACAAACAGGCCCCACCTCAGTCTCTCGTCACCTTCGCCTGATTACAGATCCAAAAAGCAGCTGAGCTTTGTTATGTGGTCAAACAAGGATTAATTTCATTTTTAAATAAACAGAAAGATTGCAATTTCTAAAGCCAAAAAATATCAATACATCAATTTCAATCTGTTTGAAATAAGAAGTAAATGCTGAGAGCATGCATGGAATTAGCTGTAATCTTCTTAGGTGCTCTCCTGCAGTGGTCACTACAGCCAATCCCATCACAGCCAAGGTTACAATCAGTGATTGGCTGAAAGATTCGGCCCTCTTGAAGAGAGGTAAAACATGTCCTCAAGTTAGATGCACAACAAAGGTGGTCTCCTGTGCCTAATTTAAGTATTTAGATCCCTTCAACTGTTTTTTTTTTTTTTGCCCCTTCACATTACAACATAAATTCCAGCTCATTTCCATTAATAGAGAAAATAATTTTTTCATGATGAATAAAAAAAGATTACATTTCGATTTTAGAAATAAACATATGAAAGTATTGTGTGTGTTTGTAGTTAGGGGTGTCCAGATACAACTTTTTCCTTCCCAATATGATAACAATGTTGCAGGTTTAGGTATACAATGTAACCTATGCATCTTTTTCAATATTAGCATGAATCAAAAACAGCAAAAGCACAGTTCTTTTTTTATACCGATTTGATTGTATGACTTGAATCCTTTTCAAATTGTGTTTCACAGATCTCGTTCTCTTCCTCTTAAGCCCCATACAAACGCTTCCAATAGATGTGACCAAAACAAAGCCGTAAAAAACGTCCATCCAGACCACTAGAAATGTGTTTTCACTAATCTCATATTTTCTCCTCTTATAGATGCATATTTTGAATAAATAAATACAAATTGGAAGGATGGAGAGGGCATACAGGGGCATTTTTATTGACAATCACCTGTCTGTTGACAAAAACTTCCAATCACCTGTCTGTTGACTGGTGATAAGAGGGCTGTTTCCCATCATGCTCTGTGAGATGAGGCCTCCACTGATCAACTGCAGCGTCTGCCTGAGACAGCTGATCCTGTTCTGATCTATTGAGGTCTCAGATGCTCCTGACATCAGGTGCAGACAGGAGCCAGTCAGATGGAGATCTAACTGGCTCCGCGAACAGACCAACCTCGATCAGACCTCGCAAATCTAGCTCAACTTGAACGCAACTTCTGTTATCTTTAAAACTTTATTAAAAAAGGATGAAGTTTGCAAAACTAAATCTTAAACAAAATATAAAAAAGGGTTTTTAATGTAAAATTTTAAAGCCTTTTTGAGAGGATCCAATTTCGAAAAAGTGTAAATCTGGCGTAACATAAAATATAAATATATTAGGTTTTTTTAGAATAAAAAAAAATTATATTACATCTGAGAAAACAACAAAGCAGCTCTTAAACCCTTTTTTTAATCAAGACAATTTTCTGTTTTCTTTCTTGATAGCTTTTATGTTTCCATTAACAAAAAGTGTTTGTTTTTTTTTATTTGTAATTACTAAATAGGTTTGATCTTTGCAAAAATAAATTCACTCCATACTGAGACCTATATATATATATATATATATATATATATATATATATATATATATATATATATATATATATACATATACATGTCATAGCTGAGTCTCTTATTTAGCAGGATTCTTATACATGGTTATTTTTATAATAATCCTAACTATGCAGGTTAAATACAATTGAACCATGAATTTTGTGGTTGTACTGTGACTAAATGAGGTAAGGTTAAAAAGGCATGTTTACCTTTCTAAGGCTCTGTACATGCTCTGTACAAGTGTTTATATCCACCCACTAATAACAGACTAACGGCGCTCATACACCCTGCTGACTTAACACAGTAAGAAGTGTGTATAAAGTCTTCAAATTCTAGGATTTCATTTTACAGTATGTAATAAAAAAATAAATGCTTTAAAGAAAGAGCGCCAAAATTCCTCCGCACTCCAGAGGGCTGATAAAGTCACACAGAAAACAAACGCTTGAAGTTATTGCTGGCAAAGGTGACCAATAAGGCGAAAGGGGGGGATATTTTATCACACGGGAAAAAATAAATGCAGCAGGAAAATGTTCCTCCTACACCCTGAACAGAAAATTAAAACTTCAACATTATTTTTTAAAAACTTTTCTTTCTCTGTCATTAAATAAGTTATTAAATAAGTAATCCATTCTTACCTTGCTCTCTTGTTCAAGCTTGGACACCTTTGCTCGAAGATCATTCTCTGGAGAAAAGAAAAATTGGATTTAAAAATCTTCAGATGTGTTTTATGAAAAGTATGTGTCTATGCATTGGAGCCTTCCTACTCACCAGTTTTGACGTGTTGTAAACAAATTTCATCGATAAAGCTTTCGTGAATTTTAACTTCCCGTTCTTTAATCTAAAGGTGGAGTAAGAGAAGAGACCAGAGAGCTCAAACAAACACACAGAAATAAGCTCGTCCATGAGCAAAGTAGTCCCTGACTACCATCCCTCGCAATGCTATAGACTTTATAGGAAATGTTCTTCCTTTTTGATATACAGTCTCTTGTGAAAGTACTTGGCCCCCCTGAAGTTTTTTACGTTTTGCCACGTTTGTGACTTTAACATAAAGATATAAAATTGTATTTTTTTGCGAAAAACAACAGGTGGAACGCAATCATGGCTCTTTTTGTTTTGGGGGCGTGGAAAATGAATCGGCCCCTTAACTTGCAGTGCAGCAAACTCTCTCCAGAAGTCCAATGAGGATCTCTGAATGATCCAATGCTGACCAAAATGACTGCTGATGATACATAGAATCCACCCGTGTGTAATCAAGTATCCGTATAAATGCACCAGCTCTGTGATAGTCTCAGAGGTCTGTTTAAAGAACAGATACCATCATGAAGATCAAGGAACACACCAGACAGGTATGAGATACTGCTTTTGAGAAGTTTGGAGCCGGATTTGGATACAAAAGATTTCCCACGCTCTAAACATCCCATGGAGCACTGTGCAAGTGA